CGTTCTTGCCAAGGTTGTATATCTTTTTTCAACCTACTCAAGTCCAAACCATTTGGACCCCTTAAAGATTCTAACCAGGGAGGACGCAGATCCCAAAAACGCATAGTTTCACCTCCAAAAATAACTTCTCCGGTAGGTGAACGCATTAGATATTTACCCAAACCTGTAGGTCCTTGAGCTGATCACACATTAGCCCCAAGACGTTGGTCTCTAACTAAAAAAGTAAAAGCTTGAGCTTGAGAAGCTTCTGGTCCAGTGAGTCCGTAAAACTCACTCGGATAAGCCGTATTATTGAACCAGACAAAGCAACAAGCAATGAAACCAAAAACAACTAAAGCACCTAAACTATAAGACAAGTAAGCTTTTCCCGACCAAAATACCTTTCTCTTTCTATTCTATTTAGAATAGACTAATATATAGTCTATATAATAGAATCTATTTAGAATACAATTTTTTCTATTTCTATATTAATTTAGAAATTCGAAATTTTGTATATTATTTATATTAATATTAAATAAATATAGATCAAATTGGAATCATCCCAATCTTGAAAAGATTATCCGGTAGGGCTATTCACCAATATAAGCCAGACATTACTTATCAAGAACAAAAAAAATGCGGATATAGTTGAATGGTACAATTTCTCCTTGCCAAGGAGAAGACGTGGGTTCGATTCTCGCTATCCGCTCGAGGTAATTTCTTTCCTTTAATAGGATAAAGGATTGAGGGTAGTTGACTATAATAATATAGTGATTCTATCCCATACCTTTTTTTTTTCCTGCCAATCTACTAAATTACTGGATTACTCATTTGAAAACCCTCATTTTTTTGTAATTGTAAATCATTATGACTCGTGAGGATGAGATTGAGCCCGTACGGAATGCTCCCTGCCCACTGAACCATATGACTGAGGTGGTGATTAGGAGGGGAAATCGGTACGGTATCGGTATCCCAATACCAAATACCGAAATCTCGAATACCGAATTACACCCTAAAATCAATCTCAATCCCAATCCATAAATAATTTCGGTATCCCAATCCCAATCCCTAAATAATTTTGATATCCCAATCGGTATCTCGGTATCCCAATCGGTATTATCTAATACATAATTAATTACCTTTGCAATTAATAATTAAATATATATATAAATTAGATTTTATTGTTTAATTTAGGGCAAAGAGACTAAGCAAATAGTCTTGAGTTGCCTAGAGCTAACATCTCAAGTTCTTGAAATTGGGTAATCTTTAATTTGACGAAATTGAGGTTGAGAGACAACTAATACTAGTGTGAAATAGTGATGTAATGATCTATGTATAATTAAATGACACTTTTGGTGGTTGATGGTCGCGTAGTAGTGAATGAGAGAGTCTAGTTGAGATGATAAAATACACACTAGCTTATATTTCGGTATTGATCGGTATTTCGGTATATACCGATCCCAATCCCGTAATCCCTAATACCGAAATAACAATTGAAATGAAGAGAGATAGCTTCATGAATATATCAATAACTTATTTTTGTAATAGTCCATCTAGGCAACTTGTGAACTCTCCAAGTGCTTATATGACAAACATTTTCTTTTGAATTGCCATAATATTATATATATAGGTATAGATTGTTCTGGTATAATAATAATGAATGATACGGTACAAATGGAAAATAATGATTAATTTTTCTGGTAATTTACTATTTGTCTTTAACATAAGTTGACATACATTTTGAGTTTATATTATATGTTTAGATCTTTTAATTATCCTAAATAATGCTTGCATGACTATGAAAAATTGATATTTTTTTTTATTTCTTTATCTATTTTTACTTTTGACGGTATACTTTGAAAAAGATTTTGTCTCCCAATCTCTGAATTCCGTCTTCGGAGATTTGCGTTATTTGCTTGTTATATTTGTGCGAGCTAAATCAGTTGAAGAAAAAAAATACGATGGTGTGATTTGCTTGTTATATTTTTATTAGTCATTTGATATGACTAGTTCATCAACGGAAAACAAAATAAGTGATTTTCTTTCAACAAAAATATACAAATGACTCATGTTTTTGTCACTTCTTATCAATTTTAACTCTTCTCTTTTCATAAAGCCTATACTAACCCTTTTATATTTTGTTTCATAAACCAAATACTTTCAGTTATTTTCTATTAATACTTTTCAATTATTTTCTAGTAAAGTAATAGTTACTATTTTGAAGACTGATTTCAAATGTAGGTTATGTCGATTGTAAAATGGTATACGTTGGGATTGTTAACTTTGTAAGAAAGTTGACATAAATTATCGTCCAATAATAAAGGTATTATTAATATCTAAATAATATATTATATGCTTTTTTGAAAAATGAATTATGCTTTCATGATCAGCTTTATTAGGATAGCAAATAAGAAAATGAAACATATTGCATGTAATAACATATTAGTAACATTAAACATATGACTTATTAACAAAAATTCATCTAAAGCTTTTAAAAAACAATACATTTGAGTATTTCTACATCGTCAGATATATACATTTGTTAAATATCTATACTTGACCAAATGACTTGTTTGTAAATACACAAAACAAATGTCTATGTAATAAGTTGTTTTACCAACTTATACTTTGTTCAAATAAATTTCAGGTACGTGAAAAATAAGGAAATGTGCAAAGAAAAACATAGGTGAAGCTCAATTTTAAGTGCAGAGGGGCAAAAATGAAAAACAAATGCAATACCTTCGAATCGTATGGGATTATAAATTATAAACTCAAATTAAATACTTAGAGCAGTGTGATAATCTTTTTTCTCAGATACAAATAACTCCACCTCTACAAAGGGTACTTTGGAGGGGGAAAACAGCCAAATAAGTAGGGTTGGCAATTGGTGTAGTTGTGCCTACTTTAATTAGAACCGCGCTGTTTTAATATGATTAGCGGTTTAAGTTTAACCACAATTATATTGCCATCCATACAAACAAGAATAGACGTTATCTAACAATACGATAAAGAGTTTCTCTTCCAGAACCTCCTTAATTTCACTTTTCCGGGCTTCTCCGCAGACCACGGCAGGCCACTTTGGACTTTTCCACATTTATTATAATTGATTTATTAAGGAATTTGGGTATATATCATGCGCACCGGAAGAAAAAAGAAGATTATAACTTATTATTGTACTTAAGAACTAAAATTATACGGCCCATAGAAGCTCGCCAAAACACTCTGCTTATTTAATTTGTGTTCAAATGCCTATAAATGAATGCATATTGGAGTATGAATCATTATTAACTAATTGCACTCCATACGTTCCATTACTAACTCTACTGTGTTGCTTTTACTAATATTATTTAGACTAATAATTTTGACGACTATATTTTTGTAATTTATGCATTGAAGGAATTCTTTCCTTAGAGAATCATCCAAACAATCAAATAGTGCTTCAAATCTTAGCATATCTAATCATGGATATTATTTTCATAGTAAAATTTGGAAAGTAAATTTAGAAGTAAGATTGAAGAAATGATGCTAGGGATGACAATTATCCAAACCCAAGTAAACCCATTGATTATGGGTAGGGTATGTATGAGTGAAGTCTATATGAGTTTGGGATTTTGTAGATAAATTTGGGTAGGGTATAACTATTACTTCTATATTATAAATAAGTGTGAGGTGGGTATGGATGCCCTTTACTTGATATTGTTTTAACTACACATACAAAATTGGACCAATTTATAAAGCTTAAAAAGTTTTGGCATCAAAACATAAGCCACAAAATTTTTAGGTATTAAAATGTAAATATCATCAATATTTTGAGGACTTATACGAAAAAAATATGTTTAGATATTTAGGTACCAAATTGTAATATGCATATTGGTATGAGTACACAGCCAAATTTGTGGATTAAAACTTAATACAACGAAATGGATATGAGTATAAACTAATCAAACTCCACTACTTTTGTATATTATGAAAGATTTGTGAAATACATTCATTGCTTATTTTGCAACTGAAATAGTTTCAATGTATACAATCCAACAAGCATGTAGATTGGTCACTTATTCTATTATGAAGATCGTCCTTGATTAAATTTATAGTAAATAAAGCAATTTAACAAATTGGAGTTGCAACACATGCGTCATTACAATTTTTGAAGGTGTGTCAAAATGTATTCAAAAGTGTGTTTCTAAGTAAAAGCATTTTAGTGATCTAAAAAGCATAAAAACATAAGCTTTTAATTTTTAAAGTGCAATTCTGACAACATTGATTACATTGGAAATTTATATGTAAATGTGAATAGTGTGGAGCAATGATGTGGAGGAGTGAACATACTGAACTCATGAGAAATTCTAATCAACCCAAGTTTTCATTGTGTTGCAACTAATTTATTTTCAATTTTGTATTTACATTAATTTGTATTTTATCCGATACTAAGTTGACAATTTAAAAAATATTTAAAATCGGGGAAGAACAATACCTCCTCCCCCTCATGTCTTATTAAATGAAGGAATATTTACAAAAGAAATGGAATGAAGTTGAAATTCCACATCAAGTTTAGTGAGTACAACATCACAAATTACATAACTGAATTAATAGTTTCGAACATAATCATTGATCTCCAAGAACATTTGTGACTAGAATGAGGTGAATTATTTTGTCATGAAAATGATATTTCATATATGCTTATGTTTTGTCTTTGAATTTGTTTCGCAAACGTGTACAAAAAGAAGTGCCAGTTGATGATGGAAATTCTTTACGGTAAAGAAGTGATACTACTCATTTTGGAATACCTATAATATTGTTATTAAATTTATTATGAGTTGAGGCAACGAGTACAATGTAGTAATATGTATGATGAATGCTATTTTTTATTGTCTCTCCAATTGAATAGTTTGAATTTTTGAATGGTAAAAAATAAAGAAACTATTTTCAAATCGTTGTTGATTACTGTTATAGTATTGTAACCGACCAACGGGCCGGGGTACAATCTAGTATTATATAGTCGCGTGGTTGGTTTTGTTATTCCCGCTGCTCCAATTCCCAACTTCCCTTATAGGGGGAAAATCTCAAAATATGTCTAATATTAAAATAAATTCCTAAACTACAGTACTTATAAAAAAATCTCAAAATACCTAATTTTGAAGAGGATCGGGGCACATACCCTCGAACCACACACTGCTGGATCGAGGGTGACAATCTCAAACCACCTCAAGTATTCTCCCAAAACGATTTGGAGGAGCTTTGCTACTTCGACTCCTCATCCTCTTCACGCTTATGATTATTACTATCACTCGAGACGACATCGTTGCTTTCTTTACCGGCGAAGGATTGATCTTCAGTCCGCAGCTTGGGATGCGACAGAGGCAGAGACGGCTTCGGGCGGATGGCGGCGACGACTACGACTATGGTTTTGATGGCGGTGGGGAGGATTTTATTGTCGACCTAAGAGGTTGGTGTTGGACGAGGCTGATCTGTAAGGTTGTTGTTTCTGGTGGTGTCGATCGAATTCAAAGAGAAGGAAATCCGAGGACTAATTCCTAAACTAGGTTCAGAACATTGATCAATCGCCATTATATGATGATTCTTAAGGAGGCTCGAGGTTGTAACCCTCGATCCATGTTGTTCGAGTGTATGTGCCGTGATCTACTATGTAGTTTGAATGGTTCGAGTGTATGTGCCTCGATCTACCGTGTGGTTCGAGTGTATGTAACTCGATCCGCTTCAGACATAAGTATTTTGGGAATTTCTTTTGCAAGTGCTGTAGTTTAGAAATTTGTTTTTATTATTAGCTGTATTTAGGAAAATTTTCCCTCCCACTCTCTCTGTCTTTCATTCTGCTCCATTGCTCTCGCACGATGTAAAACATTCCCATCTGCTTTATGAGATTCTGATATTCTATCTTCCCCCATTTTTCTCTGTTCTTTTTCTATCCTCCAATGGACTGATATTTTTTCTTTTCAAGATTGACAACGCCCATTATTATACAAAAGTGTTAAAGAGTCTGTTTGTGTTTGCGGTTTGTTGCATGCATGTGCAGAATCCTTTTCTTTTCTCCTCCTTCCCTCCCTGCAAATTCTCTCCAGTCTTATTAACATGTTTCCCAATTAGAATAAAGAGGGGTAAAGCTTTTTGGTTTGGCGGAATCCTCCATTATTGTTTTTTTCTTCTTCCGTCTCTTTGTTTCTTCTCTGCCAATTGATATAAAGGAGGGGGAAAAATGGACCCAAAACATTGAAAAAGGTTCCCCTACTTCCGATTCCAATTTTTGGCCTCTGTTTCTCAGCTTGGCCGGAAACCCGATGCGGATCAGACTCCTCTGAGTTTTTGCTTCCTTCCTACACAGATTGCTCTCCCTGAGTTTTTATGGGTTCGTTGGTTCTTCATGGAGGCGAGCAAACCAAGCTCCTTCCTTCAACTCCGGGTAATAATCTAAAACGATATAAAAACAGGGGACTCTGTTTTTTGGTATTTCTTTTAATCCACTGTTTCTAATTTCTTAGCTTCTGCTTTTTCTTTTTCTGCAAGAACAATCAATGATATATTTTCCTTATTTATGCCATGGGGCAGGCTTATAATCTAGGATATCGTAGAGCTCAGAATCGGACATGGGAGGTGGGGATCAATCTTCCGGAATTTAGGGGTTTTATCTTCTCGGAACAAATCACACTAATGGAGATGATCAAAGATGCAGACTTTGATCTGGGTTTTCTCTGGGGAGGCTGAGTTTGTAAACAAAATTGATTGGAAATACATATAGCTATACATAGAAACAGAGAAACAGGAAACTCCGAGGAAAAAAAAATAGTTTCATTTTATCCAAATGGATGAAACTCCGACGAGCTCCCCGGCGGCGGCGATGCAGCACACGCCGGCGCCGAGGAAGAAGATCGTGAAGCAGCTGACGGGGAAGAAAGGTGACACCTCCCTGCACTCGGCTGCAAGGAGCGGGAACATGGCCGCCGTGGTGGAAATCCTCTCCGGGACCGACGAGGAGGAATTGAGGGAGATATTGGAGATGCAGAACCAGTCCGGCGAGACCCCACTCTACGTGGCGGCGGAGTACGGGTACGTTGACTTGGTCAGGGAAATGATCCGGTACTACGACCTCGCCGACGCCGGAATCAAGGCCAAGAATGGATTGGACGCCTTCCACATTGCCGCAAAGCAATCGGATATAGGTAAATTGTCAAATCCTGTTTTCTATGTCTAGTTTTCAGCAGGGTGAATTAAAGAGAGATTCAACTCGTCAAGACTTTTTAATCTCTAGTTTTCTTCAGTCAAGACAAATTAAATTTAACTACTCAGTAATTTTTCATGTCTAATTTTTTGACAAACAATGTAGAGTTTTGTCGATTTAAATTAAATCGTTGGCACTCTCAGTATGTAGATATTTGTTCATACGAATTTGTTTAAATGTTCTTTCTCTACACATTTTGGCTTTAATCGTAAACAAATTGTTTTTGTGGAGTATCTTGTTCCAATAAATATTCTTCTTCCATTTCAATTTGTTTTGATATTTATTTTTTAAAATGGATAGATAAACAAATCACTCGAATCATATGCCAATTGATGTGCACCCTACATTTTTTTTTTCTAGATGTTTTGAGGGAGCTAATGGAGGCTCACCCAGAGTTAGCAATGACGGTAGATTTGTCCAACACGACCGCGTTGCACACGGCGGCGATGCAAGGCCACATTGAGATAGTCAACTTCCTTCTGGAAGCAGGGAGCAGCATCGCCACCATTGCCCGGAGCAACGGCAAGACTGCACTGCATTCCGCCGCCAGAAACGGACACGTGGCGGTCGTAAAAGCACTGGTGACGGCGGAGCCGACGATCGCGACGAGGACGGATAAAAAGGGCCAGACGGCTCTTCACATGGCCGTTAAAGGACAGAATATTGAAGTTGTGGAGGCGTTGATCAATGCCTCGCCCGAGACGTTGAACTTGCTCGACAACAAAGGCAACACTCCCCTGCATATCGCCAGTCGGAAAGGCCGAGCTCCGGTAAAAAAACTCACTTGATACTCTTTGCTAATCAAAATTGTTTTTTAAAATGTTACCACAACGCTTCTAGGTAGAATTGCACCAGTGATGACAATTTTGTCAAACCCATGGATATTTTACTATCTTACGTATAAGATCTAAATAAATGGTAAATAGGTAGAGTTTTTTTTTTTTGTGGAAGTAAATAGGTAGAGTTTGATGAGTTTATAAATAAATTGGTTGTTTTTTTAATCTACAAATTTTGATCTGTACCCATACTCATTTATAAATTAAATTTGGTATCTAAACTTAATAAATATTTAGATTTAGTATCTAAATATATTTTTTTTTCATATAAGTATTCGAAAAATTAAAGACAATTTAGATTTTAGTACCTAAATTTTTGTGTATTACATTTGGATGCCTAAACTTTTTTAGTCTTACAAATAGATCTAATTATATATAGTTAAAAACAACCTCAAGTAAATGGGTATTCATACCCAATCCATGTCCATTTATAGTATGAAAGCAATCTCTATAGTACCCAACTCAAACTCATATATACTTCACTCATACCATATACATAATCAATACTCAATAGTTTTATTTGGATTTGAGTAAAATTACTCATGGATGGGCAATTGTCATCCTTAATTCGCGCTTTCACGTGCAAGTGTAGTCAAAATCAATGTTTTGCTAACTTAAAAGCTTGCATTTTTACGGTTCTAGCTCACCAAAATACTTCAACAACGTAGAATCGCGATTTTAACTGCAATTGTTTGCATCGATTCGACACTTTCAATTCCTGAATTCTTTTTTCGCATTCAATTTTTTTTCCCCCTTCTTCAACCTACAGATAGTGAAACTGCTGCTCCAGCACAAGTCAACGGACACGAAAGCGGTGAACCGAACGTCGGAGACGGCGCTGGACACCGCAGAGAAGATGGGCCAGCCGGAGGTGAAAGCCATCCTCCAAGAGCACGGCGTCCAGAGCGCGAAAGCCCTCAACCCGCAGGCCCGAAACCCGGCCCGCGAACTCAAGCAGACGGTGAGCGACATCAAGCACGAGGTCCACTACCAGCTCGAGCACACCCGGCAGACCCGCCGGCGTGTCCAAGGGATCGCCAAGCGGCTCAACAAGATGCACGCGGAAGGGCTCAACAACGCCATCAACTCCACCACCGTCGTCGCCGTCCTCATCGCCACCGTGGCCTTCGCCGCCATCTTCACCGTCCCGGGGCAGTACGCCGACGACCCGACCAAGATGCAGCCGGGCCAGACCCTGGGCGAGGCCAACATCGCCCGGCAGGCGCCCTTCATCGTGTTCTTCCTCTTCGACTCGGTGGCGCTGTTCATCTCGCTGGCGGTGGTGGTGGTGCAGACGTCGGTGGTGGTGATCGAGAGCAAGGCCAAGAAGCAGATGATGGCGGTGATCAACAAGCTGATGTGGATCGCGTGCGTCATGATCTCGGTGGCGTTCCTGGCCCTGTCGTTTGTGGTGGTTGGGGACCACGAGACGTGGCTGGCGGTCAGCGTGACTATTATTGGGACGGTCATCATGGTCACGACATTGGGTACGATGTGTTACTGGGTGGTTAAGCATCGGATTGAGGCGTCGAAACTGAGGAGTATTCGACGAAATTCGATGGGGAGTCGGTCCAAGTCGATGTCGGCTTCGGTTATGTCGGATTCCGAGTTGCTTAACAATGAGTTCAAGAACATGTATGCCATTTAGTGGATCCTGACCCTAGCTAGTCCCTGATCTCTACTTGTATATGTTTTTTTTTTGGCCGGATTAAGTGTAGAAATGATGATGTAACGCTGACTTGGTGCAAACTTCAGATTAATGAGTACAACAATGATTTATGTATATGAGCGAAATCGTAGTTTATTCATGATTCAATCATTTCATATTGTTAAATTAATTGTCCATCAATTTAGCCTCCGATATTTGGGGGGTTTTTTTTCTATCGAAGTGTCGGTACGATATGGTTTTTCAATCCGTAACGGGCACTTCGTACAAATTCAAAGTCTTTTACCACTTTCTAAAATGTTAACTGGATCGCATGGCCTTCCCTGAAAGACAATGATCTCAAGTCAAGTTGGTAATGGTGTGGTAGAGTAGTATGAGTGGCTGAGTGAGGAAGGGGACATTGCTAGTGCGATTGTGTGACTTGTGTACTAGGATGCATTGGGTGTTTCTTGGACCTTGGTGGCTCATTTTTGCAGTTAGTGGTGGGAGCAAGGGGAGACATTGTTAGAGGAATCTCTCTCACACAACACTACAAATGGGACGACACATGGAATGTCCGATAACTCCAAGGTCGTGTTTGTAAAATAGTATCATGCAAGTGATTTGACCGGGGTTTTTTTTTTTTTTTTTTGTTGAAGGCTAAATGGGTAAGTGTTAGAAATATGCAATTATCATTGTTATTACTCTTATATATTTATTGTTATGAAAGTCATTGTAGGGGTTAATAGAATAGAAGTATAATTAGAGTTATTGTTAGGATTTCCAGAATTTTCCTATGAATATGTACTTGGGTTATTTCGTCATAATTAATTAACAGAGAAGGTTACAAATTAGTTATCTCTAATATCTCAAACTCTATTCTCCAATCTTAGGAATCTTGTCTCTCCTTTCCCTAGAGCAGCCGGCCATTCTCTCTAATTCTTTCCAATTTCAACGTCTAAATTCATAACTCCAATTATGGTCTTTCCTAAATCTTTTAAATTCCTAATTCTCGTCTTAATTATCTCCAAATAACCATATTTCTTAAATATGCAATTTTTAGAGTTATGAAAAGGTTGAATCACAGTTAAACCACGAGTTCAACACAATACAACCTATCGTTGAATTTTTCAGTACAACCTCCGGTACGGTTTTTACCGTCCGTATCAAAGTCATGGGTTGTTGGTGGGGTGAGTGTTTGGATAACCTCATCCCAACCTTTATATTAAACTAATATAATAAATTGAATTAGTCAATTTCATTTTGGGGGAGAAAAGTAATTCCATTATTAATATTTTCTTTTCTTTTCTTGATTAATACCTTAAATTGGTCCGAATTTTACACAAATAAACTATTTTGGCCCGTGTTTCTAAAATACCCATTATGGCATAAATTATGAACCATCTAGACTAATTTGGCTGAAATCGTGGATGACCGTTAAGATCTAAAGTTCATACTCAAGAGCTTACGTGGACAACTCTTCTCAAGGGCAGCTTCATGTTGTCGATTAAAATGATTGTTTTATTTTTCTTTTTAGATATAATGAATTTGAGAGTTTTTTTTAATATGGGATAAGTAATTTATGATTCAAGGTAAAAATAATATTATCACCATGCCACGTCACATAATCGCATCCGAATCACAATTTTTGTCAGCCGTATCAGTATATTTAACAGTTAAACTAACGGATATGTTGAAAATTTGATTACTTTATAGTATTTCAAATAGTTTTGACTATTCATGTCCACTACTAGAAAGATTTGACTATTTTTGGGTTTTTTACCCAGTGATTGTACTTGGCTTTGGTTTATACTAGATTTGGTGTGCATAATGGGTTAGCTCTCTTTATGCATTTCTTATTTATATTTCTAGTATGCGTTGTAGTTTATAGTATACATTACTGAGCTTTTGGTATACATTATAAACGTACAAATATTTTGAAATATAAATTTAACACAAATTTAGTTTATTTTAGTATATTTTTTTCCTATTAATTCCCCTTTATATTTTTTTTGTTTTTTTTTTGTAATAATTCCTCTTTATATCTATGTCAAAAAATTATGTTATTATATACTGTATTTCCCCCTCTTTCCAAGCTAAGAGTTTTCCTTTATTGACTAGTACTAGCAACCCCTCTTCGCTCGAAGAGAAAAGATCACCAAATCTTTCTTACAACAAGATCTCCAACAGCATAAAGAAGCTAGGGATTCTAACATATACGGCCGAACAACATTAGGGTGATTTTATAGCATATATCCTTTAGCACATTGCTCTTAGGTTTTGGTTTCCTTAGCCAGCAAGTCAAAGGAACTCATTTTCCTCTGTGAATAGACTATAGAGGTTGGCTGAATCTCCATCCTATGCTATAGGGATTTAGGTCAAACATTCCTAAAAGTAGGAGAATGATCTTAACCTCCATTCAGGGGCGGACCCAGGGGGTTTAGGGGTGTACCCGAACACCCCTAAATTTTGGGAAAACGATTATCCAACCCCGGTGGTAATTTACGTATGGACAAAAAAAATATAATTGATAGTGAGGGATACCCCTTAAATTTGAAAAAATGATTATCCTACTGTCATTTGTGTATAGGAATATAAGTGGTAGGTTGAATAATTCAAATCTAGAACACTATTATTATTAATAAACTTAATTTCCGTTGAGCTAAACTCATTTGTTGTTCGATTTTGAACAATGTGTAATAGTAAAACTGAATTGCTATTTATAGCCCTAACTTTTTTTTATTTGTAGCCCTAGGAGAATGTAATTACTATTTTACCCTTTCTTCCTTTTAAAATATTGAACTTGTTACAACTCCAACCAAACACTCCCTTCTCTCCCAATTCAACTAACGCCGGATTCCTCCCAAATATTGTCGCCGGCGACGACGACCTCTCGCCAGAGACGTGACTCACCCCTTCTCTCCCGTCGCCGGTTTCATCTCAGATACGACGACCACCTCTCCCCGGAGACGACGACCTCTCGCCGGAGACAAAATCAGAGCGCTTCGCCGGAGGTAATGTTTGATTTTTGCACGAAGGAGGTGACGACCCGCCGTTTGACCCGCCGCCAACAAGGGCGACGTCCTGGCGGCCGTTTGACCCGACGACGCCTCGGCTGGACGTCGCCCTCGCCGGCAGCGGTCAAACGGCTGTCAACGATCGATTTTTTTTTTTTTTTCGTTTAATTTAATTTAGGTTAATTATCTGTTCTAATTATTATGATTTAATGTAGGATAATTATCTACTTTAAATTAATTTATAAAATTACTTTAATTATCTCCTTTAATTATGTAGGTTAATTATATGCTTTAATTATTATGATTTAATGTAAGATAATTATCTGCTTTAAATCAATTTAAAAAGTTACTTTAATTATCTCATTTAATTATGTAGGTTAATTATATGCTTTAATTATTATTATTTAATGTAGGTTAATTACTCTAATTATTTGTTTAAATTATGTAGGTTAATTATCTGCTTTAAATATGTTAATATTTAATATATATACGAAAATTATGTCGGTTAATGTTTTCATTTAATTGAAATTAGATAGGAAATGCAAATTTTAATTGATAAATATAAGAAAGTTTAATAATTTAAATATAGAATTTTATTTCATGAAAAGTATTAATTGTTGTACGAACCTTAAATTGCAATTGACAATTTAAGCAAGAAAATTAAGTTAGAATTTATCGTGAAATACATTACAATTTCGAACATTATATTGTGATGGGAATTTTATTGTAATTGAAATTATATACTAATGTTAAATTATAATAGACAATTTAGGCAAGAAAATTAAGTTAAGAATTTATCGTGAAATACATTATAATTTCGAACATTATATTGTGATGGAATTTTATTGTAATTGAAATTATATACGGATGTTAAATTATAATAGAGAAATATACGAACCTTGAACATTTGATATAAAAGTTTATTATATGAGAACTAGCAATTATCATATGAACATTGCTAATATGAACATTGCTAATAACTATTACATGATGATAATAATCTGACAATAATTTTAAATCAAATTTTAATAGGTAGAAAATGGTGGATACAAGAGGAAAGAAGAAGATGAAAGAGGTAGAGCCGTCGAGGGTGACCAACCGTATAGTATTGAGGTCGCGTCGTGAGGAAGCCGAGAATGAGCGTCGACGTGCTAGACTTGTGGAGAATCCTTCTCCCCCGCCTCCCGTGCCTTTTGACTTAGATAGAGCTTTTGAGGGAGTGGATAAGTATGATGACAGTGATGACAATTATGATGACTTCCCGGATGTAAATGATGTTTTCTTCGAGAGCAACCATCCGAGTGCAGGTGGTTCTAGTGGACCTAGATTAGAGCCCGAGGCTCCTTTTGTGTCTTCTTCGTCCTCTCAGTTTGTTCATGTTAGACGTGGGCCTCGTGGTCGTTTTGAGTCATCACGACCCGATTCGGAGGAGGCCAGCACTAGTAAGAGGAAGAAGGAGAGAGAAGCTGATTCGTGGATTCTCGACAGGAGTGGGCCGGGGGGGCCTATCGATCATAGCCTGATTCCTAGTTTTGGAGGTCATGTGGCTTATCGATTATGGTATGATGGTTTAGGGGCTCGCCGAATGGATTCATTCAAGTTTTCGACTAGAGCATTGGCAGTCAATTATTTGAAAGATTACAAATTTCAGAGTAAGGGTGTTGCAGCATTGGTTGAGAGGACAGGGTTGCGCAAGTTGTTGGACTGCTCGATCCAGCACTTGGACGGACATTTACTTGTGGCGTTTGTGGAGAGGTGGCAGCCTGACACCAACACCTTTCACGTGCCTTTTGGAGAGATGACCATCACGCTCCACGACGTTGCAGTGTTGCTTGGGATTCCAGTCGGTGGAGATATGGTTGTAGGGAATGAGAGTGTGAAAGCACAGTTGTGTGAGATGCTGAGGGTCGAACAATTGAATGAACGATCCAAGCCTTCGCTTAAGAGTGGGGGTTTGGTGTGTGTTGAAGCTATGCAGCAGGTTGGGAGGTTTTGGGAAAGAGATTCTGAGGTATGGATGTTCTTGACCTGTTTGTTGGAAAGCACCTTGTTTGTGGACAGGAGTGGGGATCGGGCGCAGGTTTGGCCTCTCCAGTTCTTGGGGGACACTAGACGGGTGAGGAAATATTCTTGGGGGTCTGCTACACTCGCCTATTTGTATAGGCAACTCGGCATGGCATCTCGAGCGGACTGCAAAGGCATGGGTGGCTGTTTGACCCTCCTTCAGAGCTGGATCTACGAGTACTTCCCGTGTTTACGAGATCAGAAGTTGGGGACACGTGGATTGGTGTGCGGGGAACCTTTTGCTAAGAAGTGGGAGGGGGTGATATTTGGAGGTGGGGCACAGTTGATGAATGAGAGGTTGGATCACTATCGTCAAGTACTGGATAATATGACAGATGAGTTCGTTTTTTGGTGCCCATTCGGCCACAGGCCTGGTGAGATGGTCTCTCGTTCTTTGTACTCTGGTGTCATTCGGTGCATGAGTGTTGAGGAGATGTACGATCCATCGCGTTGCCTCCGTCAGTTTGGGTAAGTACAGACTATCCCCTCAGATCCGCTTCCTCCAGTTGATGTTTGCCGATCTGCAAATGTCAAGATGTACTCCTTGTCCTACGGTCCCGGCTTGAGTGAGCTTTGGAAGGCCCCTCACTGCCACTCGGTGCAGTTGGATTCGATATCGAGACCTGTTCAAAAACCGGAAGATACCGACGATGGGTATCTACAGTGGTATATGGGACGTACCCACCCGAGGATCGTCTGCCCCAGTGCTGCTGACCAGGAGATACACCACCATCTTAGTCATGATCAGGTAAGTTTAATTATGTTATTGATATTGCTATTCTGTACAAGCTTAAATATTGCATTAGTTATCGAATAACATACTAACATTTACATTATTATACAGTTAGCTGTGAAGCTCGTCCGAGAGTTTTGCACTGTGATTGAGCACCCTTATGATTACCACCTTGATCTTCTTCTTGGATTACAAGGGTTGCTTAGAGAGCACGACGAGGCGACTCCATACCAACCTCCACCTCAGTACTAGTGTTGTTCGTGTAGTTTGAGTACTATGTAGTTTATTTGTATTTTGAGAACTATGTCGTTAATTTGGTGTTTGAGAACTATGTCGTTTATTTCTAGTTTGAGAACTAAATCGTTTATTTGTTGTTGGAGGACTATGTCGTTTATTTGTAGTTTGAGAACTATGTTGTTTATTTTTTGTTTGAGAACTATGTCGTTTATTTCTAGTTTGAGAACTAAATCGTTTATTTGTTGTTGGAGGACTATGTCGTTTATTTGTAGTTTGAGAACTATGTTGTTTATTTGTTGTTTGAGTACTAGTGTCGTTCATTTGGTACTTTATTTGTATGTTTAGAACTATAGTAGTTTTAATTTAAAACTATGTTTACCAAAGACTACAAATATAAAGATAAGATGAGTTATAAAATACTCCTTATTTACAACTATTGTCGTTATATACCAATACTACTACAAATATCTCCTACTAGTCATGATGACCCCCAAGTGCGAAGTAAAGATCTCGCTCGTCCTTGAACAACTGCTCCCACCCTTGAGTACTCATTTTGTCACGGAAATGGGTCCATAGGAAGGTGAATGGAGGCATTTGTATTGAATCCTCCTCAAAGTCAAGGCGCACCCAATGGTTGCCGGTGTTACACAACACCAACTCATTGCTAGGGCGAGCTACCCCTGGCTTGGCTATCATAGGTAAAAAGGTTTGTCCAAATGGACCACGTCTACACACCTCAGCCACTAGATCATGAAAAATCTGAAGATCATTGGCGTCATTGTCTTCGAACCGTCTTGCATCATGAGGGTTTGCATAGTCCAAAGTAGACCATAATGGTGCCAAGTGTGTTATCTGAAAATGGTCTCCCGCTCCTTTAAAGGAGTTGATTCGACAACTGCATGGGAGCCCATGTGTCCTCCCAATCACACAGTCACATTCCGACGGAGTCTTCTTTCCCTCTACAAACATCAACTCAAGCGCATATAGGCTTACACTTCCCCTTATAACGTCGTAGGGTGGTCTATAGGCTCCTTTGAATGTCTTTGTTCGACATGTCTCTAGCTCTTTCCTAATTTCGATCACTTGCCCCCCAATGCTAGCATGCCATGATAAAAATAATGTATCAACTCCCTCAGTCGAAGTGTTTAGCCAAGCTTTAAGACTTAAGAGTCGAGTGAGCCGATTCAACCCTATTCGTACTTGTGTTACCAATATGAAAAATATTGTTAGTGTAAGCACAAGCCAACTTCTCTTTATGCTCCAAGCACTCACGATCCAAGTATTCTATCAACTTACTATTCCTCCCCCCAAAATCCATTTTTGAAATTTTCCCATTCCTCAATCATAGCATGTGGCGTGGTGGCTTCCATCACCTTCTTCCAAGAACCATGTACCACTGCTCGAGCAACTTCTTATGGTATCCCCAAATCCATCATCTTAGCTTCAATGTTCCCCTTTATGTGCCATATACACAACAAGTGAGCCGATTTCATGAAGACCTGAGGGATAGCGGCAACCAATCCTCCCTCCTTGTCAGTTAGAATTGCATTCGGTATGCGATCTCCAAGCATGTTTTGTAACTCTCTCAAAAGCCAAACATAAGAATCTATGGTTTCCCCCTCCATCATAGCAAATCCAATGTTGAAGTTCCTCTTGACGGGGGTAACACCAATAACCTCAACCAGGGGCCTCTTATATTTGTTCGTCTTGTATGTGGAATCAATCAAGATTACATGGTACCGAGCACTCAACATCCGAACAGACTCACGGTGAGCAAGAAAAAGGTGAGTAAGGTGGCGATCATCATCACGCTTGTAGCCAATGTAGTACCTCATCTCTCTCGCATGGTGTAACGTCCAATCCGAAGAGGTCATGCCACTCAATCTCTCAATCCTTATATTTGCTGTCATGTTGTAAAATTCTCGTTTGTTATGGTGAGTACCATACTTTTGGTTGATAATTTGCATCATTTTTCGAGGAGGAACACGAGCCCATTCCATCTCCTTCATATCCTTTAGCTCTTCATTAGTAAAAGCATTCCTCTGAGTGTGGCCTTCGGGATAAAGCTCTAATGCATGGTTGTGAAACCCACAAAATTGTCCCGGATTGTGATTGTCCTTCACACCATCAATCATCCAAGTCTTATCCTCCTGGAGTCCCACCAGTCTCACTCGAAAACGACAACCACCTTTAAGTGACTTTGTGTTGGATCGTCCTTTCTTATCCGGATCTGGGACATATGTATTGTTCTTATATCCACGATGGCAGTGAAGATATATTCGGGGGGTACTTCTCGCCATCATTTGATTTGGTTGATGAATGTGTCAAAAAGAACCCAAGATCTTTTGCAATCACTTTCGCAGCTTCCATAGCTTCATTCCATGACTTATATCTTGTATTTGTTATGAAAAATTGAGTATAATCAACTTTGTCTCCCTTATCTTTCGGATCTCCCTAAAATAAACACATTTATCTTATTAGTGATACTAATTTTGAAATGTTTGTTGTAGATTAAATTATTCCAATTTGATATAGATTGAGTCTTACATAAGTTTCAACACTTTTCATGACTTGTCATGTTTGTTGTAAATTGAATTCTTACAATTTGAAATGGATTGAGTCTTATGTAAGTTTTAGAAAATTTGATGACTTGTTTGCAATATTAGATTTTATATTTATCTTCTTATTAAAAAATATTAAACACGTTATTAACAATTATTCAATATTAAAACATAAACTAATCCAATACATTTTCAACAAAAAATTAGCACATTTAGCATGATTAACTACCAAATCCTAATATTTCAACATGCAATAAAAAAAATTAATAAGTAGACACGTACTAATTAAATTATCAACAACACAACGTTGTTAACAATTATTCAATATTTGAACATAAACTAATCCAATACATTCTCAACAAAAAATTAGCACATTTAGCATGATTAACTACCAAATCCTAATATTTCAACATGCAATAAAAAAGTTTTTAACAAGTAGACACGTACTAATTAAATTATCAACAAGACAGTAAAATCAATAATTCAACATTTTTTCAAACAATATATATATCATTGTAAAACAAATATTTAAGCATATTATCAATTACTAGACTTCATCATAACAATAAATAATTCAACATGATTCTAAAATTAAAAAGTTTAACTCACTAACCGTGTGACTCATTATCTGATGTAGTGATATCCAGAAGTCCGAACTTGACCAACTTCAAGAAATACATATAAGAAAAATATTTTCAGTAATACTAACTTAGTTTCAAAATATAAAAAAATGAAATTCAAGAACTTCATTCTAAAAATAATATTATAGAAAATCCATCCTAAAAAATATGATAATTACAATATCATAAAATAATAAACTACAATAAAATCACTAAATATTCTTCAAAGTCTAAATTATTGTTAGTAAACATTAACTTAGTTTTAAAATAATAAAAAAATGAAATTAAAGAACTTCATTCTACAAATAATATTATAACAAATCCTACAAAAAATATGGTAATTACAATATTCATAAATAACAAATTACAATAAAAACGCTACATATTCTTAAAATATGGCAATTAAAAGTCTAAATTATTTTCAGGAAACATTAACTTAGTTTCAAAATATGAAAAATTAAAATTCAATAACTTCATTTCATAAATAATATTAGAAAAAATTCATCTAAACAATATGATAATTAAAATATTCATAAAATAATGAATTGTAATAAAATCACTAAATATTCTTAAAAATCTAAATAATTCATCAATCTATTATAAAAAAAATCTAAAATAATAACCAAAAATTTTAAATTAATATCTATTTAAAAAATCTAATATACTTCACAAATTTAAATTAACACAAAATTAAAAATAAAATAAAAAACCGGCGACGTCCCGGGAGGACGTTCGTCCATCGCCGGCAACGTCCCAGCAAGACTTTCGGCCATCGCCGGCGACGTCCCGGCAGGACGTTCGGCCATCGCCGGTGACAGACAGCAAAATCTGTCGTCGTCGGGTAATTTGCCGGCGTACCTCGTCGGAGAAAGGTGTCTGTCGTCGGCGGGTAATCTGTCGTTGTCGTCGGCGGAGGCGGCGGTCGCCCGCGGAGAGTATTGTAGGATTGTGTTTGGAGAAAGTGTTTGAATGTTTTGGTCTTGGAATGTGTGAACTAAATGTATTTAAATGTGGGGAGCGGATATGGTAACAACACCATATTTGTTGTTATTGTAACAACACTAGTCTCCAACCAATAGGAATCTAGGGTTGTGATGGCTTTTTATTAGTTTAGTTGACCTAGTCTAAAATCAAAACAGGGGTATAATTGTCATTTTGAAAAATATATTTAAAAAATAAAAAAATAAAAAACAAAACATATTTTTTTATTTTATGCCCAAAAATTTGTTCGCCAGAATTCTGCCACCGGTCGCCGGTCACAAGAATATGTTTTTTGTCGACGGAATATGCTATTTGTCGCCGGAATATGCTTACCGGCGTCGGAATAAAGTCATCGGGGCCGTAATATGCCTATCAGCGTCGGAATCTGCTCACTGACGGTCACCGGAGTTCGGTCAACAAACTTTGTTGACCGATCAACGGTCAACGATGACCGAATGTTATGGTTAGCATTGTGAGATTTATGGTTTGGTTTCTCATATTTTTGTATGCCTTTTGTGGTTTGCTTTATTGTGTTTGTAGTTTGCATTGAGAAGTTTCTGATTTGCTTTCAAAAATTTTGTGGTTTGCATTGTGAGGTTTCTGGTTTGTTTGAATATATTTGTGGTTTGCATTAGAACGTTTATGGTTTTCTTTTTTGTGGTTTGATTTACTGTGTTTCTGGTTTGTATTAGGAGGTTTCTGGTGTGCTTTCGCAAATGTTGCGGTTTGCTTTATGAGGTTTGTGGTTAGTTTTAGGAGATTTGTGGTCTCCATTAGGAGGTTTCTGGTTTGCATTAAGAAGTTTATGGTGTGCTTTCGAAAATTTGATGGTTTGATATGTGGGGTTTCTGGTTTGTTTTGTGAGGTTACTAGTTTATTTTAGAAGACTTGTGGTCTGCATTAAGAAGTTTAGCGGTATGCTTTTTTTGGATTGTTTTACTGTGTTCGTGGTTTGTATTGAGAAATTTATGGTATTTTTCATATGTTTCAGGACATTTGTGGTACTTTTAGATAATTTTGATTTCATTTGTCGTAAGTTCATCTCAATATATTACAACGTCGTATAGGCAAAGAAGTCACAAAATTATTTGCATAAACAGAAATTCCAATAGTCAAAAGCTTAAAAAAAAACATTATCGATGTTCACTCAACCCCATTTTCTGCCAAATAGAGAACACTCAACTCCAATTAGCACAACATCATATCAATTTTCTACATAATGGCAATCTTGCTCCTAACCTCCAACCCAAAATACTATCAACGGAAGAAGAAAGTAGATTTCATGACTTTAGAATTAAATGCTTGTTGTGGACCAAACTACTGCCTGCAAACAAATCCCCAAAAAAGAAAGGGATTAACCTTCCAATTATAGGCCCCAATTTCAAATGTAAATTCTGGACAAATTTAGACCTCTCACTACCAATTATATACATCAACAGATCCTTTGAAGATCTCCCACAGCCACGACCCCTGCTCACCAACAGGGCAAAGGCAGGGCAACCAAAAAACGACAACTCACCTTCCAACACCACCACTGCCATCGTCGCCACTTCCTACGCTCTAGATTCGTCGAGTCGTGGAGAGGTCACCGTGGTTTCGTACACCCGCCGCTCCCTCGGCAGCAGAAACTACCTCGTCACCGCGGCTTCGGCACTCCGAAAACAAAGCTCCACTTAATGCACGACTCCGACAGCGAGTTCTCGTGGGTGGATGACCGCCAGCCCAGCGAAATCGACAACCGTTTCGACCCTCGATCCTCTTCCACCTTCTCCAGGGACATCCGTGCTTGGTCGTTTGGATTGGCATCGATCGACGGCGGCGGCGCTAGGAGAAAGAAGAAACGAAGGAAGAAGACAGTCAGATCTGAAGGATTGGGGATCAGAAGAGAAAGACAGAGAAACACACTTTTCTTCCTTCTTTATTCTATTTTTTATTTTTTAATTTTCTTGTAATTTTACGCTTATACCCTTGGTGTTACAGTAACAACAAAAGGGGTGTTGTTATTCTATCCGAGCCCGAAAATGTGATGGGTATTATTGTACTTTTTATAATTTAGGAATACAAATAAAGGCAATTTAGGGCTACAAATAGTACGCCCTATAGTAAAATGGCATTCCCTATCTCTAATTATTTTTAAAACATAACAATTAAACTAATTTCAAACTACCCTTAATTTGTATTGATTTCATGATTGTACGACAAGTGTTGAAAGAGTCTTTCAGCTTTGGGTTACATCAAGAACAAGTTTACAAATCGAATATGCGATAAGTTCGTGAATGATTGTCTAGTAGTGTATATAGAGACAATTTTTTTAACACTATAGGTACCAAGTGTATTCTACAATTATTTTCGAATATGAAAACACATCATGGACTTTTTTAACTTGTACGAGTAAGGTATTTTCATATTTACAATTTTATTTTTATTATTTATTTTTATTTAATTTATTTTTTAAAAGATGACACCCCTATGAAAAATTTCTGGGTCCGCCACTACCTCCATTAGTAGGGATTCGGCTGCTGATCCATTCATAAAAATGCGGGAAGAGATTTCATTCAGAGATACTTTCTTGGCTTGGGACGGTTAATGAAGCAGCAAGGTGCATTCAACTTGGGAAACGATGGAAGGCACTCTGACCATTGGTGGATGTGGGGTTCTGGATTTCGACTAGTCATCATATTCGTATCTACTGAGGAGCACTATCCCATAGGTATTCTTCGAACCGTTCAGAGGGTCTCCTAACCGCAGCTGAAGGAAGAAAATTTGGCTTGAAGCACAACACTCCGATTCGCTAACTCACTGAACCAAGCTTCGAGCTCCCATTGCTCAGAGACTTTGGACGTAGGGTTCGAGTTGTACAAGATGGACGAGGAAATGTGGAAGTGGATGGCATTCGGTTTAAGCAAGAGGGTGAAAGAGCTTTCTTTGTCACCCGCCGCCACCCACATTTGACGTGCAGTCTTGTGGCAGAATCAACGCTTCCACCTCAGATTGCCATTGAGATTTCTGACCCAGGACTGAATTGGAATCCCACGTCCGGCCACCATATTGAATACACTTAACAAGATTGCAACTTGTTGAAAACTCTTGCTGAATCAAGCATGTGTCCGTCGAGCTACCACACCCTTAGCGGTATCAAACAGCCATGGATTGAAGCACGCACGAGCCACGACCGTTAGCGCATTATGACATCCTGATACCAAAATCATATTCATAGTCTAATTCTCTATCAACATCAAGAGCAGCTTCCACGACAGCGATGGGGCTTATTGGGATCAAACGGTCTTATCATTGAAGCCGATTAAAATGTCATCGGAAATATTTACTGGAACTAACTGAAGCTGGTCGCCGGTCAGGCTACTAAGAGCAAAGATTGACAAAATACAAGTTACTGCCGAACTCGAGCAACATTAAAACTGAAGCTGACAGCGAGCCTCCTAATGAAGAATATCAATCCGAGACCCATGACTGGCTGAACTTTACAATCTACAACTAGCAAAGAAATGCCCTGCAGTTAATGTTGAGGCAGACCTGGTCTCTTCTCCACTGTCTCATAATTCAATACAAAATTATCCTGCACCCAAAATTATCACACAATCAGCAATCAACAGCATCAAATAGAAGCAAAGAACATATAAAAGGAAATTGTTGCAGCAGGAATGTTGGTCCAAACCTTCCGGATGATTTCAAACGTGTTGGGGTCAAAACAGTGATACGAGCCTCTCTCGTAGGTGGGCGTCTTAACCAGTGGTTCCACGTTGGGGACTCTTATTAACCATAACCGTTGCTCTTTGTGATAGATCCAACCTCTATTATATCTGCCAAATATAAATACAAATAATCAGAAGCCAAGAACATAACCACCAACGGATCTGATTAGTAGGCTCTAATGATACAATGAACTAATCTCCTTTATGACACTACAAATAGAGGAATGCAGGATGTCCGACTGATTTCAGGTTCCAACCATCGCACTCCCATCAAAACATCCAGGATTACATGAAATAAAAATTCACTGATAAGTACCAATACAGCAAATGACCAAACAAAGATCATTACTGTGACAATAGAACTAAAGTAAGAATATAAAATGATGAACTTGGGTTGATGCAATTGTTTTCTTACAGTTCATTGGCAGCATATAGTTGAGCTTCATCTTTCGGCATGCTGAAATAAAGGAGGTAATGCATAGAAGGCAGTCAGAACATGAATGTTGGCAGCGACAGAAAAGAGACAAAGCCAGAAAGTCGAAAATTCACCTGTAGAATATGTAAAACAATGTTTCTACCGTGAACTTTGAGAAGTACCCTTGCTGTAAACATCAGCAAAAGCACACCAGAATAGCTCCCGGGTTAAAATAATGAGAAAAATAGATGCCCATGTTATACAAACCCAGGAAGAGAACCATGGAAAATTCAATAAAAAGGGACATAACAGCTTACATGTAAAACAGGTGGTTGTTTGGCATGATAACATTGAGGCACGCTGAACTCCGGATCACCCTTGGCTGGCTCATCAGACCATGGAGAGCCGAATGTTTTATGAAGATTTTCTACTGAATTGAGATTCAATCCCAGAGTCGTCAAGTCAATTCCAAGTGCCAAAGACGTCAGATCAGGATTACTCATTCGTATAACACTTAGCAAGCCAAGTAACCCAAACTTTTCAGCAACTGGTTGAGTTTGCATGGATTTTATAACTGGATCTCTGAATGACTGATTCACGCCTGACATTTGCTGCAGTCTAAACTGTGACTGGCTTTGGTGATTATGATACTGCTGAATAAGATCGTATGATCCAATGCCAGATACAGGATTCGCAGAATTTAGAGGTTTCAGTCCAATACCAGGTGGGCCATTGTTCTGAAGGAAATATGAGAATAAATGGGTCAGGGTAAACTTCTCAGAAAGAGTGCAAAACAGCACTGGCAGGACACACAAGTCCATAGAAGTTGCTGACGTGTTGCATTTCCGAGGGACAGGACACCAGATACAACTCCTCACCGGGCAACGTGCTAACCCCATAATTTTAAGAATGGAGTTTATTTGGACAGTTCATTCAATCAACTTGCACAAACAAAGCAGAACCCTTCCATACAATATACCTGTGAGTGATAGTTTGAATGTGAAGATGGAAATATATCTGAACCATGAAGAAGATCCTGATTGTTCACAGACGGGAAGGAAACACCACTGCTACTGACAGCTGGGGCATGTTGCTGCTGTTGCTGTGGACGATATGAAGAGTATGTCCCCCCTATATTGAACCCAGCGGATCTCCCCATCTGCAGCGCAGCATAAGCGTATCAGATGAGCAGATAAAAGAAAGTAACACAGCACTCTCACAAACAACTTACGGAGAAGTGCTGAGACTGCATCATGGACATAGTACTGTCATGCAATTGTTCTTTCTGGTGCATATCCATCCCATATTCAGCATTCCCACCTGAACAAAATCTAGCAATTATGGTAAGCCACAAGGTTGCAGAAGAAAATAATTACGAATGGGTTACTACACAAGGGAGCATGTCATTGCTTCTTGCAACGCATAAAGATGCCAGCTATTAAATAAAGTAATATCGCAATCCTTTTTGTTCGATGAACTTCAACCAAGAGTATTTTGGCAGATAACCATATCATATTTACAAATAAACACAAACAGGTATGCACAAGAACTTTCCCTGGAAGATTTCCAAGAACACATTTCTGCAGATGAGCTGGATAGTTCCACTAAATCACACCACATAAGAGAATTCCTTTGATCTAGAATCTCGGGAAAAAATGGAACAAGAAAGACACATAGCCAAGGCCAGTACAAGCAACTAAAATGCAGAGTTTGCTATTATGCAGCAACCGCTTATGCATTATTCATAGGAAAAATATTGGCAACACCTTTAAAACCAGGTAATGCTGGGAAGTCTTCATTTTGTATACTGAACTCTTGGTTTTGCTGAACGATGGGGCTTACTCCGAGACCTTGCTTCCGCAGAGAACCTGGAATAATATGCTTCAGAAATCATCTTCTGCTCCAAGAGGGTTAAGCTACAAGAGGGAGACAACAGCACATTGGAAGAACACATTTTATTCTTACCCAGTTGTCCTTGAGGCCCCCCTGCAGAATTAGGTCGACTTGTCAATTGAGGGAAATCATTGTTTATGTCGAAAGGCGAGCTGTCATTGGAGTTTACATCACCCAGCATTCCCATAGAGCTAAGGTTGTTAACAGCTTGGACATGACTTTGTGAAAGTGGCCCACCACCAGTAGGATAGGAGTTTCCTAACATAGACATCACCTGAGGAGATCCTGCACAGAACAGAAACATGATCAAGACAAGGGAAAAATTATATAAGCTAACAAAGTAATTATTGATCTGTACTAGATGATAGTTAAAAAATGACTGCAGCAACTTCATCCAGTACATTGATAACGAGATGACAGCAAAGATGACGGATGAGGAAACCATCTGATGAGACAAGCAATTCAAGGAATAATTTAGACATGAGCACCAAAAAAGAAGAGGGAAAACTATAAACCCTGTATGTTAATTAAATAGGCAAGCATAGAACACGACCAAGCTGAATACACTTCAAATGTCTAGTAATACATTAAACAAGCGAACCAATCTCCACAAAACAATTTAGACATGAGCACCAAAAGAGAGAAGGGAAGGCTACAAACCATGTATGTTAATTAAATAGAAAACGACCAAGCTGAATACACTTCAAATGTGTCCAGTAATACGTTGAATAAGTGAACCAATATTGTCCAACTCAGTACACATGAAAAATTCCAAAGACTCCAACAGTTGAACTAGTGAACAAAGTAGTACCTTGTGGAAGAACACCGCCCATGAGTCGATTTTGTCCCTGCACACTTAAACTTCCAGATCCACTATTTCCAGTTAAGTTTAGACGAGACGCAAGCCCAGGCACGGACAATCCTCCGCCCGAGTTTATGCTCCGTCCAATGTTGCCCCCTCCAACCATGTTACCCATCGAACTTGTAATCCGAGGACCTGCATTTCCCAAAATTGGGGACACTCCCAATCCTGGAACAGCATTCCGGTTACCAATGGCTCCAGATGTAGGGAGAATCCCAGGAATAGAACCTCCAACTCCATTTGTGTTACTACTATATCCAGGGTTTCCTACAACACTTATACCTCCTCTATTGGTTACTCCAGAATGACCCTGAGAACTTCCATGAGATAACTGCAGAGTACAGAGTACAGACATTCAATTTAATATATGAAAACTTGAAATAGTATTACGAGCAAGCAAGAATAATTCATAATGCTTCACCCCAAAACCATTCAAGTACCTGTGAAAGGGCCACGGGGAGATTATTGGAAGCAAACCGTCCACTAGAAAGGCTACCTGTGGGTTGTTGAACAGCACCAGAAGGAACACTGTTCATTGTGGAGTTTCTTGATGTTAGAGTACCAGGCATGTTGGGGACATTAAAGCTCCCATGGAGGTTGTGCAGCCCCTGGATAGTTCCTGAAAAAAGGAAACTAGATTAGCATAAAGTTCAGGACAATGGCCAAATATATAGCCAAATATACCCACCAGAGTGATGAAACACAGGAGATCCTGCACCAGACTGGCCAGAGAAAGATGAAGTGAAAGACCTCCCACTGCTATCAGGAAGATTCGAGGCTGAACCATTCATAGAAGACTGCAACACAAGGGTACCAAAGCATGTAACTATTTCCAACTAGTAGCAAAAAGCAGATACCATCATTACATTAAACGAATCAAAATATAGCAACACAGAAGCAAAGACCAAGTGCATTACTTTAAAATAAATGCAGAATAGTGTAACTCGGAAGCAACACTAATCAAAACACTGGTCACGTTTAAAAAGTGCTATATTGCTGGTGTGAATTCTTGATGTTCAAATCAGAACCAAAACATAGAACTTGCAAAGGTACTCCAAAGTAATGAGCCTGTAACTCATACTATTGCATGACAAATTCCACAAGCGCCAACCCTCTATCATGCAGAAGGGATTCAGTCCACATAACCTACAACACTAGACTCGCCAAAAGAAAGAATGAAATGACAGTAACCAAAATGGCAAACCAAACACGCGCGAAACAGTTCATTGTAATTCCCCATCATACAAATAGATGACTGAATAAGCATATGCAGGCAACTACTAGCTTAAAGCTTTATAATAGAAGACCCAAAACGCTTGGAAAATTGAAAAAGAAAGATGTCAATACATTAAGTAGACCCGACATTGGATGTATGTCAACAGGTCATGCGAAAAATCATTCCTCGTTAAGGAGCAGCCTTTCGTAGTTTCGAGGTGCGAGCAACCACAATACTATCAGAAAGCTTTCAACTTATGGCCTGAAATGGACAACACATTTGTAAGAAAATAACCATGCTGGCAAAAGTAAGGACATAGCATAGGCAGAATAAGGTACAGCTTCCAGGAACCAATGCAAAGTTGCTTGAGATGAGGTATAGTAGGCAAATGATACAGTTTGGCACTGAGCAGAAGGCGAGCACAGGTATTGCAAACACATCAATGACGTCAGCCTAGAATGTACTCAAAACAAAATATATCATGGCAACCATAATTCAAGAAATGATCCAACAAGCAAGATAGCAGTTCGGAAAAATCGAGCTATCAAGGCCAAGAAAGAAAACACAGAGCAATTAGATGAAGAGCTGGAAGGCAGACTAACAATAAATGAGCCACATTTAATCCCCAACTAAGCAAAACACTCTGAACTGCATCTAACTAAGCCATGTAAGAAGAGGCCAATGCAAGCCGATGAATGAAGATTTCTATTGCCTCCATACTTCCAGCTAACTCCACGGAAATAGAATCAAAACACGAATTCAACAATTCCGCTCGCGCTACTTCACGCTATCAATACAGTAGCAGGTCTTTATCTTTAAGTAGTGAAAGGAAACCGCTCAACTGTCACCATAAGTCCTTCCTTTTGATCCTCATCCTCTCAACAACCAAACAAAGGAGAAAAATAAACAGCCACGAACAGTACTACAGTCTCGCGACAACCAAATTCATTCAGTAATTGCACTTTTTGCCAAGCGAGATGTTGAAGAAAAGCAAGTTCAGCAACAACAAAAAATGATGTTCTCCGCCTAAGAACCTAGACGATAGCTTAGCGTATTCAATTCAATCCATATAGCAACTACTTCCATGATCGAACACAGGAAGAACGACGAAGCCGGTGGGGAAGATTGATGGGAGGGCGAAGGGGGATCGAGTTCGTGAGTCGGGAAGCGGTACCTGAGAGACGGATCGGCGACGGAAACAGGAGATCGTCTGAGAGCTTGTGTGTGAGTCAAACGTGAGCGAGGTTGGAGGGTTTTGCCCTAAATCGAAAGACAGACAGAAAGAAGGGAATGAGACTATGAGAGGAGAGAGAGTGAGAGAGATGAGTCTGTGATGGAGTCGCAAAGAGAAGATTGATGGAAAGGGATATTATTTTTTTTAATTTTGCTCTGATAACTGATAAGATAGCACTCAGGCCTCAGCAATTATCTGGGGTGGGGACTGGGGAGTAACATCGGGTGGGGTGGGGTGGGGTGGGGACTATACAAGTATGTCTAGAATAAAAAAGGATCGTCAATTGCTAGACCGCTCTTGCATCGCAATTTGGATTATCTACGTCACCCCAGATAATTGTAATTGATTTAAAATGAGTCGATTTAAAATTTTCTAGTCAAATTACTTCATCCAAAATTTTATGGTGCCAAATGAATTAATATGTTCCAATTGTCTAAAAACGAGACAATTGTGTCAGATTTATACAATAGAATTTCTCATCCAAACAATTCCTTATAGCGATCGTAGATTCACTGAACGACAAGTGAAAATTCGATGTCTCAGGCCATCAATGTTGAACATGAGCATAGAGATCAGGCATGCATTGGTGGTCATAGTGACCAATGGTCTAACACTTAGCAAACTTGCATTATTCAAGTATAACTCATAAAGTGGATTCCAATTGACCAAATGGGTTTTACCTCAAAGCTGGTAAAGTCGAGCACCACGTTATAATGCACAAAACTTATATTAATCACTATAATACTTAATTATAATTTCAGTTCACCCAGTAAAATCTTAACATTTAATCTAATTAACTAATGAATTTTAACAAAAAGTTATTTTGAAAGACTTACCTTGTTTGCCAAACTAAGTCGGCCACGTGCTCACCATGTGCAGAAAGAATTTCTTTGATATGAGCTGCAAGCAATGCTGGCTATTTAATCTAGTTCCCATCATGTCCTTTCAGACCCAGAATTCAATTGTAGTGACGTCGGAAAATAGTCGAGTTGTGGGAAAAAATTGTGTTCTGGTCACCCTCAGCCAGCCAATGGATTCTGGAAGGTTGTCTCCACATTCTCTCCTTATCTCTGCGCAGATCGCCCAGTTCTTCCAGAAGCTTGATTTCTTCCTCTACATCATCATCCGATCGAAACTCATTAGCCAGGGCTTCAAGTCGTTGCTTGATATCCTTCTCCCTCTGATTTTGTGCTTCAATCATTCACTTTGCCCATGCCTTCAAATTCTCCTCACATCGCTTAAGCTTTTGGTCATGAGAACCCCCTCTGTTCCATGCATTCATCACAAATAGGTCACAATCTTCTTTTCCCATCCACCTGTCATCAAACCGAAAGGGTGGCCAAGTCCACTGCTTTGATGAGTGGAACTCCAGCCTTAGCACCCGATGGTCAGATCCTATAGCTCCCTCATGGAAAAGAGTCCCTTCATTAAAAAAAACTCTCGCCAAGACGGAGAGCACAAAGCCCGGTCTAATCTCCCTTTAATAAGATGATCTCCTCTTCTTCGATTTGTCCATATGTACTATGGTCCTTTAAACCCGATGTCGATGAGCCCATTGTTAAAGATAAAGGACTTAAAAGGGACGACCGATTCTCGCCGTAAAGGTCCTCCACCACACTTCTCGTAGTCAAACGTCATAGCATTAAGATCACTGATTACAACCCATGACACATTCGGGTCACTCCTAATATTGGACAACATGTCCCAAAAGACCCTCCTTTCACTAAGAATACATTGGGCATGAACAAAAGTAATAAAAAAACCACTATTATAACTAACATAAACATAAATAAAAAGTCGTCTGAGATCCAAAATTTGGATAGGAAAACCCGCTGTCCACCAAAGTGCAATTCCACCGATTGTCCCCTCCAGGTCGACGTACTCGCCTTTGCAGAAATTGTTGATGATCCTCTTCTCCTCCAAAGTCTCCCTAGTATTCTTTGTTTCCATCAGAAAAACTAAGGAAGGGCAAAATTTCATTTCCATCCTTTTCAGATGATTTTCTGTCCAGGTTTGCGCAATACCCTGACAGTTCCATCTTAAGCAACTCATTTCTCCCCCGGTGGCCTAAAGCTGGCCACCAGCGCTTCAGAGTTGGAGATTGACAGTTGTGTCATACTGCTATGTTTCTCGAGCATTTCCCTTCAGTTCTTCAGTGGCAGCCTTCTGCCTTCGATTCTTTGTTTTAATTCTAGCATTACGTTTCTGCATGGATTCTTCACCCAAGGAGAAATATGGGCCTTCAAAGTCAAGCGCCTGCCCATGCTTCCTCTTCTTCATATCAGACCTACCATCTTTCTCTTCTTTCTGATACTCAAGATCATCTTCAATGGGCCTCCTGTTGAGATCCATTTTCTGGGATAGATCCACATATATCTAAGAGATATTATAGGGATTGGGCTGAGTGCGACCTTCTGATGTGTAAAAAAGCTCCTCTTGGGCCAAGTTTGGTCGATTTCTAAGGCTCATCTAGTGGGGGAATCTGTTGGCACAATAAGCAGTTGACTCCATCTCTTCTTAGCTGTTTCTCATCACTTGTGGGGCTACAGTAGGGGAATGAGGAGGAATAGCTCCATAGACCACCAAATTTTGATTATGACCAGAAGAGTAAAGCCATTGGGTAGCATACCCCGAGACAGACCTCGGGCTTGATGTTGAGAAGTTCGTTGGGAAAGGATGGGGAGTGAAACCAGGTGGGCCTCGAATCCCGTAATCCCGTCCACCTCCAGACGGCATTGACGGTGAGTTGGAATTTGTAGATCCTGTTGTCAGCGAGTTTCTTCCCGAGATCCACAACTGGTTTTGGGTAAATCTCAGTGAGGGAGGGGGAGGTCGGTCTATTGTGATTCAAACCTTCATCCACGGAGTGAACCTTCCCTCTGGTGGAGCTGCACTTCCTTGCTCAAGATCATTCCTCCTTTTCTGGCACTCCTGCTTCCCATGACCTTGCATCCCACAATAGTAACAGAGAATATACAGCTTCTCATACCTAAATCCCAACCACTCTGTAACCCCACCAGTTGTGTAGTATGATCCATGGGAAGAGGTCTTGTGAGATAAGTCTATATGAAAACCCGAACAAACTCCATATACTTATCTGGATTAAACCCCCTCATATCGATGTTGCAAACCTTAGAAAACATTGTCACCACTGATTTGATGTTGGACACCGTCCTCTTGTAGTCTGGGATGCCGTGAACCTAGATCCAGAAGTCATCAAAATCGAAGTTGACATTTTGAGGGCGTATAGCTTCATCCCATTGTTTCAGTTGGAGAGTATTATCGGGGACTTGCCATGGCCTGCCTTCCCATGCCCTGTACATTTTTTCCTTGTGGTTGAAGATGAAGATGAATGTATTCCTAGTTCTTTCAATGTTTTGAACCTTAGGTTCACAGAAGTGTGACCATGCACCATTAATCATTCCAATCATGGCTCTCACCAAACAACCTACCAACCAGCCTCAGGCGAAACCCTCCCTCTGCAGTTTGTGCATCCTTTGTGAAAACCGCTTTGTACTCCCCCTCCCATACCAGATTTTGGTTTACAAGATTATTCATGGCTGCACTTTCCATAGAGGTAGAGTGAGACATTGTTTCAGGGTAAAGACAAAAACAGAGAAGGATGGAGCGAGTTTTTGCTTAAACCACTCTAATGGGTTGAACGAAATATAAAAAGGGTTGGGAGTTGTTTGTTCCTGGCCATTAGAATTGAAGATGGCTTCTCGTTTGATAAGATTTGATGGCTGGAAGACCACATTAAATTTGATTTTTGAGGCTCGAGGGATTTCCATCAACAATTAGATCTAGGCCTGGCTTTGTGTGTGTGTGTGTGTGTGTGAGGGGGGGGGGGGGGTTTGAAAAGACTAAGGTTGTAATTGCCTCTCCTCTTTCTTGGTATAGATATATGGTTATTTTTATTTGAGGAATGAAGCATTGAATGAGAAAGATTTTGGGAGGTGGGGTTGTTACAGAGGGCTCGCTCACTTTTGCAATAACTCACTCTGCAATCGCCGACACTGAGCTCATGTTCATAAACCATTGGCTGCCATTAGTGCTTATGGGATCCTTGGTTGAGAGGAGATTTCCAGCTGTAACCTTCTCCGTTTGAGAGACTATGAAAGTTGAAAAAGCACCTCCATTGGAGAGTGCATCTGGAGTTCCAGATCTAGAAATTGAAGAATTGTCGAGAGAGGTCTGAGAGTTCATAGAAGAGAGAGAAAGGTAATCGGAATTTTCCTCTCTCATAGTTGTGGCACATATTTCACGGAGTGAGATTTTCCACTTAGTGAAATAGCAAATGGAAGAGCATGTGAGTGGAGAGTGGACTCCATCTCACATGTGATACTTTTTTTTTCATTTCCATTTTGTTATGGAAATTATACATTTAACAAATGATAAAAATGGAAGGCCATGTGTATGTATGTGTACGTAATGTTGTTTTCCTTTTTTTCATTTCCTTTTTTCAAATTATCATTTGTTTAAGATAAACAAACTTAATAGATTAGAAAATTCTTAAGTTTTGATCAATTAATTTTGTAGATTCTAAAAGTGTAATACGAAAACAAAGTTCACGTACGCCTATATAAATATAAAGATGTCACAACTACATCCAAATTCAAATTACATAACAAATCAATAATACTTAATAAAAAAGTCATTAAGCACAAATAAACTGGTACATGCATTGAAATCTTAAATTGTAACACAAAACAAATAAACATACCACAATACATAATACACAATTAGATAAAATGTGTAGTTGTAGAAAAAAATAAGCTGGACCCACCATATAAAATAGATAATGGATTTCATTGATATAGAGAAAATGGAAGTGATATGTAGTGGAATGGAAATTTTTTGTGATGTGGCAATATGAGCCACATATGAAATAGAAATGGTGTTTTGGGGTAGTTTGATTTTGGTGATACTTAAATCAATGAATTGTGGTCAATGCATGCATTGTAATATACATGCAATTAAGGAAAATGATGTAATGTACTTTAACATTGTTTGGTTTTGGTGATGGTTCTTTTAGTATTAACATGTTATTTTACTTTTTTGTGAGAAAGGTCACATTTCCCCTTACTTTTATGAGAACATACATATATAACTAGGGGTATCCTTGGAACAAAAAATGAATCTAACAATCTCCTCAAAACTATTTCAACAATCTAAAGTTTTTGTAGAGATAGTACTATCACTCATTTTGAGTGATAGTTTTCATCACATCAAGCAAACAATACATGTATTGTTTGTGCAGAAAATTCATAAAAACGATGCATTATGTACAATACATACATTGTAACTATACCAACCAAACTATTACCAAAACCAAACGACATTAACATGAATGTTGATGGTATAAGGAGGGGAGCGGTTACGGTGCTAATTGTACAATAGTTAGCACCGTCCTAACCAAGGGAAAAACTACTACTAGTTTGAATTAGTAGTGATTTAGCTTAAATGTTGTATTGATTTTATAATAATCCGTAGTAATTTCGTTATTTTTAGTAGCGATTTTTGCTAGTTATCACGGTGCTAAACCCTATAAGGGTTAGCAATTTTTGCTAGTTATCACGGTGCTAATCCCTATAAGAGTTAGCACCTAATCCCATCCCTATAAGAAGGGGTTAGCACCTAATCCCATCCGGAGCCCTGGAGCAGGACGACCTCACAAACGGAAAGTCAAGCAAGAAGACTAGACAACGATATCGCCATTCCCCAAGCTCTCAATTATTATTATTAAAAGAACTACACGATGGTGAATTAGTGACTCCACAATCCACATAATACTCCAAGCCAAAGACAGCAGGAATCTCGCGTCTCCACTCCCAAGAACACGTATCAGAAAGACACTCTGCTTCCCTCTACACAAGCACTCGCCCTGAATCTGGTTATACTTGCTGCTAGAGACCGGCGACAGAGAGACCCAATTCAATTCATCAATGGCTTCTCACGATCATCATCATGAACACAACCATGACCATCAGCACGACCATACCCACACTCACGGGTAATTATCAATCAATCCAGCCTCCTCCTCTTCGCTTTTAATTGTTCTCTTCTGTTTTTTTTCCTCCTGTTTATGTTGTCATCCTTCCATGGAGTTATCAGGGAAACGGGCAACGCAAGTTCATGGGTAGGCGCCGACGGGAAGGTTTACCACAGCCACGATGGACTGGCACCCCATTCCCACGAACCCATTTACTCCCCAGGCTACTTCACCAGGAGAGCTCCCCCAATCCTCACCAGGGATTTTAATGACCGAGCTTTCACCATCGGTATTGGCGGCCCTGTGGGTACTGGGTAGGTTTCTAATCCAATCCTCCCTCTCTCGCTTTCCATAATTGCTTGCATCCTTCCCCCACAACCATGAAATTAATCTGTGTTTTCTCTCTCTCAAAATGACCCAGGAAAACAGCTCTGATGTTGGCCATTTGCAAGGTCTTGAGGGAAAAATACAGTCTTGCTGCGGTAATTCATTATTACCACCCATCTGTACATCTGTGGATCGCTGTTAATTGTTGTTTTTGGTTTGAATTAGGATGAGAATGTTGAAGCTGTTGTTGTTGTTTGTCTGTGTAGGTTACGAATGATATATTCACTAAAGAGGATGGTGAGTTCTTGATCAAGAACGGAGCTCTCCCCGAGGAGAGGATTCGAGCTGTGGAAACCGGAGGCTGTCCTCACGCCGCCATTCGTGAGGACATCAGCATCAATCTCGGCCCTCTGGAGGAGCTCTCCAAGCTCTTCAAAGCTGACTTGCTGCTTTGTGAATCTGGTGGAGGTAAAATTCTCCCCAATTATATATAGATGCTTCTACTTCTTGTATTGTGATGCAGACTTTGCTTAGAAATCAAATCACTTGCTTCTGCAATGTGATGTAGTTGGATGATGATGACGAATTCGGTTAGTGATCAAATAGCCACAACTAGGGTGTGCAATTGTTTGGTTTGCACGGGACCAAATCGACATTTGATTGAGTTCGGGGCTTCGGGCGGAGACCTGATGTAGTTTGATTCTGTTTCGGCTCCATAGGTTAAGGAGGGAAAACAGACTGGACCAGGTTGGACCAGATTCGAACTCGATTTGAATTTGGTCCTTATCTAATTATCTTTGATCCGGTCCTATGCATATTCAATCCAACTCTGGCCCGAACCATGCACAATGTGTACTTAAGAGAGTACTACATTGCTGTATTATTCTTAACCTTCAGTATTAGTACTCTGTGAGATGGGGTTCAGTGGTTCCCTGTATTAAATGCTTGAAACTGGTTCAGATGATAGTTATGCAACTAAATATAGTTTGATTCAGTTACATAGATTTTTTAAAATTAAGGAGACAGGATGGACTGAATTGCGAACAGGTCCAGACTGATCTGGACCAAGTGTGCTTTTGCTTCAACTCTGGTCCTTATTTTTCGTCCAGTCCGTTGCTGATGCGATCCAATTCTTGATTGAATGGACCGTGCACACCTCCCTATGCAAGAAACTACCTCATGGCTATGCCATGAACCTTAGTTGAATGTACAACTACTGTATGAGATGAGCTCATTAAACTTTAACTGTTTGCAGACAATTTAGCAGCCAACTTCAGTAGGGAGCTTGCGGACTATATCATATACATTATCGATGTATCTGGCGGCGACAAGATCCCTAGGAAAGGAGGCCCAGGGATCACCCAAGCTGATCTCTTAGTACGTCAATCCATCCTTTTTCAGCTTCTTTCTTTTAGCAGCATCTCCTACTCAATACCATGTTTGAGCCGTGAGTGAGAGATCATGTGTATGGAACTGCAGGTAATAAATAAGACTGACCTTGCAGCAGCAGTTGGAGCTGACTTAGCAGTCATGGAACGGGATGCTATGAGAATGCGTGATGGGGGTCCCTTTGTATTCGCTCAGGTCAGTGACTTTACTCATCCAAATTTCGCTACATCACTGAAAGAGAAAGCCGTAAGCACCTTGCTATTCCTCCTCAGTCGTCCTATTCGCAGAGAAAGGAGATCTGACGGCTGTGGTACATGCAGAAAGTGCGTGAACTACAGCCGTGTTCAATCTCCTTGCTCGTGATTTCCTTCAATCAGACGACCGAGGAGGCAGAAGCAGGGTGCCTGCACCCTTTCAGCAGTCGAGCCTAATTGCACTATACTCATCCTCTTAGATTCCTCGGAACTTGGAAACGGACATAAGATTCTAAAATCTTTCTTACAATTATGGTGATGATGATGATTTTTTGTCGTGTCAGGTGAAGCATGGTCTGGGTGTTGAAGAAATTGTCAACCATATCTTACAAGCCTGGGAAGCTGCTACCGGCAACAACCGCCATTGAGTATCAGTTGTTTACAGCTCAAGTAATCATTATGAGATGAGAAAGATTCACAGACTATGTTTCAGTAGGATCCGAATAATAATCTGCATTGCAAACACTAAGTGGACAAAAGAGGAGTTTCAGGTACTAGATTTGCTAATCCCAAATCCATTTCAACGACAATCTATCTGTTCGAAACGATACATGTTCAACAATGCAGAACACGAAAGAAACCGGAAGAACCGAAGTTGCAGAGATGAATTACACTTAAAAGACTATCCTATTTTGTATTTTCCTCTGGAAATGTTGACATTGAATTTCATCTTTCTGTTACCATCTTTTTTTGTCCCAACAAGCTCGAAAAGACACATGTCTCCGATGTGCACAGAATTCTCCTCAGCAAATTTTCTCCATCCGCCAGCGAGGTCTAAGTACTCTTTTCCTTTCTGAAATACTCCATCTAACTTCACCAGCCAGTAACTGCCTTCAACCCACAGCTCTGCTTCACAGACGTCTTTCTCAATACTGCTTGCGAATCTATATGGTATTCTCTGCACAAGAATATGGTTCAGACTTCAGAGGCCATGCTAGCATTTTTGCCACCATATATACTTCTGGAAAACAAACAATGCTTTTACAGCCAGCCTACCACTTTCCATGGTCGATTGCGATCATTGCGATCTACATGACTAAGTGCAACATTCACTTCGAAGGAAGGATTCACTGAATTACAGGGAGTTGCAGCTTTTTGATGAACTACCAAAGACGGTGGACTGCCTGTAGCAGTTCTCTTCTCCCTTAGACGACTGCATGTTTCTCTTTAAAACTCCTCTTCCAGGAAGTGCTGCGGAAAGGGTTCTTCTACATACCCCACCATTTCCACCCGGTGACGACCCACTTCCTGGATAATGTTCGAAAACATGGGAGTTTTCCATGAAGACAAAAAGAGAATTAGTGTTCGAACTAATCAAAGAAGAGGTAGAATCGAACGATTCAGTAATTGCAACATGCACCTTGGGCAGCTCGGAAGATGGTGACTTCAAATGTAGGTTTGGCGCCACCGTCCATAAGCTCGAAGGCACATACATCCCCAACTTTCAGATTGGTGTCCTTCGCAAAGGCAAGCCAAGACTGATGGTGAAAGAAAACTCTCTTCTTACCAGCATTTGAGGTGACAGAGGACTCAACAATCCAAGCTCTTCTTCCACCAGGCAGTTGAAGAACAGTTTCTCGGAAATTATCATTCAAATATCTCTCAGAAAAATACACTGGTAAAGGCTGTCACGCAAATACACGAAAGAGTTTTAACCCGAGCTTCCAAGCCATGCTTTAAGCAAGAAAGGGGAGAATCAAGAACGAAACTTCTTACATTAAGCACTGCATTCTACGTTGGAAATAGAGTTACACAAAGTTACTTTACCAAGTTGCAACACATTGGAGCATAAACAGATGAAGGCTGCATTGCTAGCATGAAGAAAGGCTTGTCAGAAGCAGCTCTGGCTCTAGTGAGTGCACTGGCTTTCTTGGCTGCTGACAATGGTTCTGGCCTCCCAAACATCCTATTAACTGGGCAACCTGACAGGGAAAACCGCTAATGTATTAGATCAAGCACCTCTGCAAAGAGAAATATTCTGAAAATGAGAAAACAGTTGAAAATCACCATAACCTTCGACTTCCTGGCTACTGTCACTAGAAAGCTCATCATCAGGGGTTGTCTCGGAACCGCTCCCACGAGCAAGCCCCTTTTGTAGCTTTGGAGGCCGGGAACAGTTGTTCACTGGTGACACTTGCCTGGTTTCCGGGGAAGATGGGGAGCTACACGAGATTTCAACAGATTCACCATCTTCTTCGTCTCCACGTTCACCACCATCATCGGCTCTATTACTATTAGCTACATGGGACGGAGGATAGCTAATCTCCGAGGCACTGGGATGAAATACAGCCACAAGGAAGCGGCTGTTGCCAATATATTCAAAAACCAAGAAGTAACCCATCGACTTAACAGAGTAAAAGTCAGCGAATTGTCGCCATCCCTCGCTGAACCAAATCTTGTCCCCGCTTCCAGAAAGCCGGATGGGCCATTCCGCACCATCCGGGAGCTTGAAAACTGCCCTGTTCGATAGTCGATCGCCATACTCCTCCGCGAACAACTTGGGAACCGCCTGAGGTATGAATTTCCCACAACTCGTCAAACAGAAAACGAGGGAAGACCCATTTGCATAAAAAAACTGTGGTGGTATGTATGAGCAAAATAAACTTACCAGCCGCCAGTCCCGGACCATTCCAGGCAAGATGAGAGTGGAAAATCGTGGCTTTTTGGCCATGGGCGTTCGTCTGTGAGCTCCTTCAGCCATTTTGTCAACACCAGAAAGAAAGAAATCAGGTCCAAAGTTCACCCTCTTATGGCGGTGGATTCGAAGACCATCTAGTGCTGCTAAGATGAAGGGGAGACGAAAGTGATGATAAATGCCGCCTGGCACCAAAACCCCCTAATTGGCTGCAAGGTCGCGTTGAGCGGAAGCAAGCAGATGCGCAGGCGGCCAGAAGGCAACCATTGGGTATTTCTCTGTGGACCTTTCCTTTCTGTTTCATTTCTTCTCTCAGTTTGCTTTCCTTGTAGCGCAGAGACCTCTTTCCCATTTATAGCTCTGATCGTTGTTGCAGCCTTCCGTACACCGAATTGATGATCCTCGCAGAGAAGCAATTTTGGCTTTGCTGCTGCAGGAGAAGACAAAGGTTTGATTGCGGAGGAGTACGGATCTTCCAGCGGGTTTGAAAGGAGGAAACCAAGGAAATCAAGCTTTGCTTTACCGAGATTGCTCCCGGTCTCGCAGTTTGGGTTTCCGTACTCCATAATAAACATAATAAAATGCAAACAAATTTTTTTTTGAGAAAAAAGGAAAATTCAAACGACTCCGCTGGGGATCGAACCCAGAATCTCTGGTTTCGTAGACCAGCGCCTTATCCATTGGGCCACGGAGTCCTTGATGTTTCTACACTGATACGCAGACAATATAATAGTGCATATTGGTTGGAAGGTTCAGACTTCTTTGTTTTAATCACCCAACTCATATACTTCGGTTTTGAGAATATCAAATTCAAAATCATCCATTAAAATTAGAACTTTATGATTTGTTTATAATTGGGTTGGTTGGTTTTTTTTTTTTTAACAAAAGATAATCATATATTGATACCAAAACAAAGATAGTTACACCCTCGAACCCAGCCAGGTCCGAAAATCAAAGAAACGACTCATGGTCGGGTACAAGGAGAGGGCTTTTCTAGCCAACAAATAGGCCACCCTATTTCTACTCCGACCTATAAACCGCACACTAAGCCCTGGGCTAATCACAAAAAAAATGTAAGACTTCTTCCAGAACAGCACCCAGCCGACTATTTCTAGCATCCTGGCAATTGATTTTGTCAATGATGATCTTAGCATCCCCTTCAAAGCGTATCCCCGAGAAACCCTGACCCAAGCACCAAGCAATAGCCTCACGGAGCACTAACAACTCCACAACCACTGGGTCATCAATCCCCGAGATCTGAATCCCTTGAGCCATAAGAACATCCCCAGAGGAAGACAGAAGAACCATGCCACCCGCTGGATGCGATCCCTTTCTGGTAGCCCCATCCCACTGGCAAGTAAACCCAGCAGCCTGTCCTGGTCCATCTGACCGTGGAACCGTCGGGGGAGGAGGCATGGAGGGCACCTCTACCGGCAGCCCCACCCATTCCTCATACTGCTGGGAAAACTGCCTCATTAACGCGGGGAACCCAAACTGCTTGCCTTCAAACACCACCCAATTTCTCGACCGCCAAATACGCCAAAGGACTGCCACGACTGCCATGAAAAGCGGCGGCTGCTGAATTAAGGCCATCAAACGTTTAAGGAACAACGGGAAAGTGTGACGAGGCAACCCTTCCCCTAAGTACTCCAGCCTCGAAAGGCCCCAAAGCGCCCGTGCCACCGGACAATCCAGAAACAGATGCTCCATGGTCTCCGGGCCATCCCAACAGACCGGACAACGAGGGAGGATAGGCACCTTCCGCTCAATTAGGGCCTCCGTGGTCGGGAGAATTCAATTCAGAATTTGTCAAACAAAGACTTTCAGCTTAGGGGGAATATTCGCGTCCCACAACCGGATCCAACTGGATCTATCCATCCAACTAGCCGACGCCCTCCACCTCCCCCTCCTCCTATCAAGGGAGACAGCCAGATGATAGGCTGACTTAACCGAGAACACCCGATCAGACGTAAAGTGCCAAATTAGTTTATCTTCAATATTCTGCCTGGGAAGGGGAATAATTTTTATAATACGACAAGTAGGTGGATCAAACCACTGGTTGAGCTTGCGATCACACCACCGGCCTTCCCCTTGACAGATTACCTCCACTACAGTAGGATCTCCCCCTTCTGGTAACACCACCGGGTTATACCTCGGGGGATCGAGCTGCAGTTGAGGAATCCAGGGGGAGCGAAGAAGGGACGTCGAATGCCCATTTCCAATCTGCCATCTGAGACCCATATCCAATAAATCTAGACCATACAATATGCTTTGCCATCCCCAAGATGGGCGCGACCTAGCTTTAGCATTAAGGAAATGCCCAGAGGGTAAGTACTTGCCCTTATAGACTTGAGCTAGAAGAGATTGAGGCTCAACTAAGATTCGCCAGCCGATTTTGGCTAAAAGGGCTTGATTGAACTGCTCAAACCGACGGAAGCCCATATCTCCCTCATGCTTACTCTTGCACATATCTCGCCAGGCCATCCACCTGATTCTCGAGTGCCCCTCCTCATCACCCCACCAAAAACGAGCAACATGTTTATCCAGAAGGCGACACAACGAGAGAGGCATCTTGAAACAGGACATCACATGCAACGGTAAAGCCAAGGCAATAGATTTAATCAGAGTCTCCTTCGCTGCCCAAGACAAGGTCCTTCGTTTCCACCCCTGGAGCCTTTCCAACAGCTTCTCTCCAAATACCGAAAGGTCTCCATCTTAGAGCGAGCAATCAACGTAGGAAGGCCCAGATATTTATCCTGCACCCCAACAGCTCCGACACCCAAAATCGCAGCTAAGAACTCCTGGTCTGGAACAACAACATTCTTACTGAAACAAACCGCTGATTTAGCCAAATTAACGCGCTGCCCACTTATTTCCTCATATTCATTAAGTAATGCAATCAAATTCTCACACTCCTGCAGCGTGCCCCGCAGGAACAAATTAGAATCATCGGCAAAGAATAAATGCGAGATACGGGGGGCACGCGGTGCCACCTTTACCCCTGCCAATCTCTTATCCTCAATTGCTTTACCAAGAGAGCCGCAAACCCCTCAGTGCAAAGCAAAAAAAGAAGAGGGGATAAGGGATCACCTTGCCGCAATCCTCGCGATGGTTTGAAGAACCCAGATGGAGTACCATTCATCAGCACAGAGAACGATGAAGACCGGAGACACTCCTATATCCACCCCTGCCACACTGGGTTAAAACCCATCTTGTCCAAAATTGCAAGAAGAAACGGCCATTCGACTCTATCATAGGCCTTTTCCATGTCAACCTTAAGAGCCATGTACCCCTTCTTGCCTTGCTTTTTGGTTTTCAAGTAATGCATTAACTCATGCCCAAGGAGGATATTCTCAACAATTTGGCGATCCCGAATGAAAGCGTTCTGGCTCGAAGAAACAATGTTAGATAAGAGACCCGACAATCGTTCAGCCAAGATCTTAGTTATGATTTTATACACAAATTGGCATAAACTTATTGGGCGTAACTGCCTCATGGATTCAACATTATCCACTTTAGGGATCAACGTGAGCCATGTGTGGTTGAAGCTACGGAGCATCCTACCCGTCGTAAAGAAAGAGCAGACTGCGTCAACCACCGAGTCCCCCACAATACCCCAAAAGGCCTTAAAGAACTTTCCCGTGAACCCATCTGACCCGGGGGCTTGCTTAGCACCCATTGCGAAAACAGTTTTACGCACCTCTTCCGGGAGGACAGCAGCCGTCAGGCCCGCATTCATCTCTTGAGTAACACTACGGGCGATAGGCAAAGCAGCAACACGCTCCCCCATATTAATAACATTATTCTCCGAAGTGAACAAATGGTCATAGAAACTGGTAGCAATATCCGCTTTACCCTTTTCATCAGTAACCCACTCGCCATTCTCATCTCTTAGGCCTGCCACAAAATTCCGCTTTCGACGCGTTCTAGTGACTGTATGGAAGTATGACGTGTTCTTATCACCCTTCTTCAACCAGTGGACTCTAGATTTTTGCTGCCAGTATACTTCTTCCGCATCCCACTGCCTTGTTAACTCCGCTTCCAGACACCGAACCGCATCCCAATCGATTGGATGCATCAACTTAAGCCGCTCAATCTCACTTTGGAGAGTTCTGATATTCCGCAGGAAATTAGTGGTTCCTGCTCGACTCCAATCATACAATAAATGACGCAACTTCTTTAGGCGCTCCCAAAGGCGAAACATCGGGGTGCCCTGGATATCTTCCTGCCAAATATAAGAAACCATGGCCTTCACCTCCGGGTTATCCGCCCATCGAGCATCAAAACGGAATAGAGGGCGACTATTCCGAATATAGGGTTTATCAGAGAGGAGGAGCGCCCGGTGGTCCGATCCCTGATCCGTAAAATGCTTGACCAAAGTATCAGGGAAACGGTCACGCCATGATTGTGAACAGAGTCCTCGATCCAGCCTCTCTCTAACACAGGCCGCCCCCATCCGTTTATTGGTCCAAGTGAATTGGTCCCCCTGGAACCCAGGGTCCAGAAGGCCCAAATTCTGGATAAGGTTACGGAGACTTAGAGCTTGTGCAGCATTCCATTGATTCCCCCCATCCTTCTCACTCTCATGGAGAGTCGTATTAAAATCGCCTAAAATAACAAAGGGGATTTGGATACCAACACAGATGTCGTGGAGCTGGTCTAACTGAGTACTTAGAGCTGGTCTAACTGAATAACAAAGGGTTGGTTTGGTTGGACTATACTTTTAAGTAAAATTTCAATCCCACTCTAAAAAATTTTATATAACTAATTGAAATATTCAAGCAAATAAACCCAAGAGAAACATATCAAAATGCACAAATGTTGCTTGGATCTTGGTGAAGTGTAATTTGGTTCCACATATGTCTAGTATTTTCCAGAAATATTTACCCGAATAAGCAAAAGATGTTATTCATTATAAGTTGACTAGGACTGGTAAACTGTTATCCTGTTAGCGGTGTAACCAATAATGAAGGCTTAACTGGTGGTTAATAGTTACATCGATAACCGATTAAGTAGTTTACGGTCGGTCTCGGTAGCCAAACTCAACTAATTACTAATTGGTAGTTAAACGGTTAATCGACTAACCAATTACAATCATTCTCATAGTTAGAGCAAAAAATAAAAGGCATCGCTGAGCCGCAGGCATAGGCTAAAAATAATAGGATGTTTGAAGGCCTACTAGATCTCTTGCCTACCCTCGTAGCTCTAATAAGGCTCTGCCCATCTTGTACCACAAAAATCCTTTTTATCGGGGGTTCGACTATTAGTCGACTTCCACACTTTTCTTGTTTCTTCTGTATGACTGTTCGATCAACTCTTTGGCTTAAACAAAAAATAGAATCCATATTTTCATTAATATGTCTAATCACTATTACCAAACACAAAACTTTTCATAACCGCATTCAAATAATCTTAAGAGTTTAAACCTTTAGATTCAAACTCATATTCTCCAACAATCTCTACAAATCAATCCACGAGACTGAAATCCTCCTACTCATCACTTTCAATTCATCAATTTGAATGCATTATTCATAATTATTTAAATTATTTAATATCAGTTGTTAATGAAGAAGGAAATTGAAAAAAGTAATGGAAAGACAACTAAAACAGTAAACAATAAACAGTGATGTTACATCCGTTTTGGGAATAATTTCAGAGCATAAAAATCCCCCACTCCCACTCTCTTTGTACAACTACAAGCACTCCATTTTCTTCTCTGGATCTCCGAAGAAAATATACAGGAAAATCTTCTGATCAGATCTTTAGATTCGAGCCTGCGATTCCCGTTCTCTTGTAATCTGCAGCCCATCGAATAAATCCTCCGTATCGTACGTTTCTCCCCATTTCAGCTAGATCGCTGATTGCTTTATATGTCTCTGCTTTCTGTTATTCTTCACTGTGCGAGCTTCTTTCGCTCGATAATTACTTCCCTCTGCTTGATTTTTTCCCCCTTCTTTCTGTGGCTGATTACGTCTGGTTTATTTTCTGTTGGTGGCTCTGGTAAAGGTATAAGAGCAAACAGCATGCCGTGGACATCTTCTTTTGTGAATTTCAACCGGAGCTGCGTTCGCTTGGTGGTCTTTTTCCGGGTGATTCTGTAATTTTGGGTTTCGGCTTTGCTCGTAAGTTCTCTCTTGGACGCTCCTTTAGATATGCAGGCTTTTACTTTTTAACCTGATATACCAATATTATTTGTATTTCAGCCACGGCGGTGGACTCTTTTGAGTGATTTTGGTTGAAGGAAGTATTAAGAGTGATATTGTTTGTTTATGTCTGAGTAATGAATTGTCTTGCTCTACCAGTGTGACTTGGTGGGCTTGAACTATTAAGATTGGGGTTCACATTTCGCTTGTTTTGTTGTTAATCAAGCATTCACTTTTCGCTTGATGCTGCAGGTACTTTTGGTTGATTTCAAGCGTGCATTTAGATTGCATAAGTGGGTTCTAGAGTGATAATGTACTTAGGGGTTAAACAACTTCGTGGAGTGAAGCAAGTAGGGAAGACTAAGATGAGTGCTCGGGTTGCTGCATATTACCAAGTGATGCAAATTTGTCAGGTACAAGCGTTGTACTTCATTAGATCGAACTTTGGCTCGTGGATTCACTTACGTATTATTCCTACTAATGTTGGCCTGTAAACTGATAGAAAATATAAAAAGCTATTATGATTCTCCTTTGGTGATTATATTGATCTCTTAACTCTTAAGAGGTAGCTTACTCCTAGTTCATTATTCCTTATAAGTTATTATTTTCCTGGACCATTACCCATGATGCCTGTACTTTTGCTCTATTCTTATTGATGCAGGCTGAATATTTCCGTCAGTTGCTGAAACCTGTTACGTAGTATAGAACAGCAGAGACTTCGATGTTAATTGGGATTTTGGGGACAAATCTCCATCTGGTTGTGTTCATATTATATAAAAAGGGCAGTGCAGGAGATAGTAGTTTGATGGTGGTGGTTTTTCATATGCCATAGACAGCTGTTGTTAAGCCAAAGAGGTTGATAACTTGACTAGCTAGTGTTCATCACTTGCAAAATCAAATAACTGCCTGCTTATAGAGCATAAAACCAACCCAATTTCTTGCTGCTGACGAAAGGGATTCTGATGCATAGAGACCAGAGGTTCAACCGGAAGGCAGTGGGACCTCCACTTGCTAATCAAGGGGGTGACAACTATATGCATCTCCCACTTTCATCTTCCTTTCCTGAGAACATACCTCCAGCTGCAGATGACTTGTTGCCTATATATGGTGTTGAATTTCAGCCATCTGAGGTCTGCCCAAGGAATTTCGTAATTGTTGATCAAACTGATCATCACAGTCAAATAATGTTCAACCCTGAAATTGGCCACAAATTCGCTGCTCCCAACTTCAATATCCCCTCAAGTTTCATTCACGAGAGGAGCTTTATGGGGAAAGAAGATGCCCTTGATCTTGAGAAGGAGTTGTCAACGTGGAAGGAAGATTCTGATGATATTGATGCACTGCTAAGCTTGGATGTGGACGATGATGGTGATGATGAAGTCAAGGATGAAGATGAGGTCAGCACTGCAAGGACATATGGGAACAGCTCTCCTGATTATTTTAGCAACTACTACCATCACAACAACTCTAGGAGCAATGTTTGTTCATCTGTTCAAAAGTCATTCGCTGGGGGTAGTAGCAGCAACAGCAGCGAGAAGAAACAGTTAAAGATGAAGAGGATGGTGAAGGCACTGAAGGGAATCATTCCTGGTGGGGAGCAAATGAATACCGTTACCACTATAGACGAAGCAGTCAAGTATCTCAAAATGCTCAAGGTTGAAGCACAGAAGCTTGGAGTGGGGAAATTTAAAGACTACAACTAATAACCTAGCCCAATCGATTCTCTAGTTCAATACAGGTAACGTCATAAACAGTCAGTCACTCCTCTTACCTTCCTTTAGGCAGGTTTGGCATCAGCAGCAGAATAATGACAGCACGTTTACCTTGGGGCTTTTAGGTTGGTTTTCAGCAAACCACTTTTATAAATCTGCAGTTTGTCATCGTTAAGCGATGATGATCTCAGTTGTCAGTCGCAGATCATTTATGTAAACTACATGTTATGTACTCCCATATATTGATCAAGAAGACAGGGGATGACCATCCATAGGGAACTTCTCTACTCTGCTTGTCTATCTCTCTTCAGTTTGTTACTGATACTTTTTATGAAGCCGTCTTGTATCGTACTCCTTGACTCACTATTAAATAATGTTCAAGATTTGACACAGAGTCTCAATCATTATGCTTAAGTCCTTCACCTTGGTTCTGGAATATGATTTCTCCTAGTTACCATATAATGCTCGTCTTCTCCATATCACACTAAGAATCTCTGAATCTATATAGTGTATTGTTGTCACCTGCATCATGTGGTTGGGAGATTAGAGGCATGAAGATCACAAACTGCGCAGTTGCTAATTTCCCCCCTTTAAATCTGTTATTGTAGTGCCTAGCTTACTGTCCCCCTAAATAGAAAAGGCTGTGGAGTGGTCTGAGTGGAGCACCAGAATGATACAATATGTACACACAGTATCTTTTGTCTAAGTGTTGGATTCAAGTGGGGCTAAAAGCTCTTTTTTTTTTTTTTTTTTTATGAAGTGGCTTAAGTGGGTCGTCCATCACTTTTATGTTGGCTTTCTCAGATCTGTGTCACTTTCTTTCCCTGGTCTTCTTCTGTACCTTTTTTCAAGTAAAATGCTGCTATCCCATCCTTGCTTGTCCTTTTGTATATCCTTCCTTGTGTGGTGGAATGAGATTAGGACGTGGGAGAGAGATCACTCACTGTCATGCATGCATGGATTTTGGCCCTTTTCTCTTCCTTGTCTGTATTTTCCGAAGTGCAGTAAAATTGCCTTGCAAGTGGCGCACCACTTTTTTGTTTGTCAATTGTGCATTCCCCACCGCCACCACCACCCTTTTTTGGGGTCGCTATTGGAGGCTGAAACTTGGTCGAGTTGGGGATATCGATTTGCTTATTTCACTGTCATGGAGTTGATTCAGTGGTTTTGGTGCTTTATAGTAGTGACCCAACTTGGGTTTTCACTTTTTTTTTCAGTTAGTGTTGGGTGGGTCAATTAGGTCGTTTGCCCCATTTTTTGCAGGTAGGTAACGGGTCAATTTGGTGGTTTCTTTAATTGTGGAGACAATAAGGTATGGGTCTAATTCTATGATGGCTGAACTTAGTAGTTACCCCCATACACGGTGCTATTGGACTCTTGGCTGGAAGGTGCTGCTGTGGGCAATAGTTTTTGGTGCTTCTCTGAGGTCAGCTCTCCTTGCTAGTTATTCCTGCAATTGGCACTGGTCAAAGTATTATTTCTCATTACTACAGATGTGTGATGATGTGAATGGATTGATGGCTTGATATTTTTTGTCTTCAAATTGGATCAAATCAGTGTTTATGAGACGAATATGACTGAAAACTGAACTCGTGTATTCAATTGATTACTCAAGGGGGCTTGGGTTCTAACTAAGTGGAAGAACGTGTGCACGAACCCAGAATGCTGCTATTGAGCGACCATACATTTTGTTACTCTAATTCATTGATTCTCGACAGTCTTTAAGACACCATCTGATCTTGTTTTGCTTCCAGGCAGGAATGTGTAACTGAGAACCCTTCCATTCATTTGCTTGGCCCAGGAGAGCAACGATCGCCAGGACGAAACTTGCCCAACTTCTGGGAAACTAAAATATCTCAGTGAAGCACCAATTGAACGTGGAACGTAATGCCATAGCCTGTCTCCTACAATGATCGTGTGGAACTTTGTAAGCTGCTTGATCAACAATCCCCAAGCTGTCGCAACCATTCACTGCAAACTTCACTTTCTTGCTCCTTCCAGCTCTCACAAACACCCGCCGGAACCCAATCACCTGCTTCAAATGGGCTCCGGCTACCCCCTTATGGTGATCTCGTTATTGGTGGAAGAACACTCGACTCGACTGGTTACAGGGTGCGACATTAAGGTCAACCTGAAAGTTTGCATGGATTCTAGAGTGCATCAAAGGTACTCCGGACCTTTCAGTGAAAGCTCATTGTTCCTTCTTACAACCCAAAATTATCGATGAGCCTGCTGCAGATCTATATCACTGAAAAAGAACTCTTCCACGAAGGGGGAAAAAGAGACTTTTCACTACCCGACTTCCAAATTACAGTAAAATGAAAATAAACAGCATCTGAACTGCATTGGATAAAGTATCCACAGCACAAGTCCTCTGGAGAGCCAGAAATATACCGCTAAACTCAACTCTTAAGAACAAAATTTTCTTATCATACTGAACAGAAGCAAAGAAGTCGCACCAATTTTGGTGACATCTTATGAGTTTTTTGCTTGAAAAAGAATCATAAACAAGCATCCTGCGAGCATTATAAAACAATGCTAGCAGCTGAATGTCAGGTTAAGCTAGGCTGGATCATCCGGGAAAATCAGACTAGGAGGGAGGGAGGGAGGGAGAAACAATAAAGAGGTATAAGAAATAAATGTTCAAAAAGCTTCTGTTATTTACATACAGAAGTCAGAAGCAATGGTTGGCAGACAAAACCTTGCGGTTTGTCTTCCCCTCATCTGCTTTCGTTTCCCATTCTTTGGTTGTGATCATCAATGGAACTTCACCATTCGAACTTTCTTGCAACAATTCTCCAGATCCAGTCAGCAAGACTGTTCAGGTTAGTCCTTCCTCCCTCCAACTATATTGGACTGGCTCTCGATACCTGCACTCGAAAACCAACAGTTATCCCATCCGTCTGCCCTGGTTTAAATTTTCTCGTCTCAAGTAACCACATCCTTCCTATTTGTATCAGGTGTGCAGAAGAACACAGATTAAGACAAAGGAACTAAATACAAATCTCCTTGGAAGGCAAACCAAACACCAAGCAGTACAGGCATAGGCATAAGTTGATTTATCCATCTTTTCCAGCAGTGATAAAGTGTCGCTTGATTCAGCGAAATGTCGAAGCTTCTCTTTTCAGTTCTCTCTCCCCAGGAAGACTCTTTTAACTTCTCAAATGTACAGAGATAGAACGGGAGAGGGACCAGACTGGATGGGAATTCGATTTAGTCCAAGAATTTGTTGCGGTCTGATGAGGAGGACGAACTTTTTGATCCAGACAACCTCTGTCTTGCTTCAGGAGAAAGTATTGCTTGCTTTTCGCCCCGCTGGCAAATCAATCAACATTTCTGTATCATGCATCATCCATGGGCTTTACTTTCACCAGCACAGGGTTGGGAAGAAGGAAAAAATTGACAGCTCAAGCAAACTACACACATTTTGTCTAACAAAAGCAAGCTTCACCATTGAACACAGACAACAGTAGTAATAAATATATCCAACTCTAAAGGCCACAGCTATCACATGGATAAACAACTCGTAGGCGTGTTAATTAAGCAAATTCACAGAATCCAAACCTGGTTCTGTAAGCTTGCTGAGGTAGTCCAGCGCTGAGGATTGTGCATCACTCCGGTACTGTCACTAACAAAGGTAATTGTCGTTGATTCTTCAGGTACACTAGACATTAAAGGTGGTGGTAGTTCTCTCATTATCCACAGCAGAAATGCTGAAGGTACAGAAGAACCTGTAAAATAACCATAATTACCCAAGAATACCGAGTCAGGTCATCATGCAAAAGGGCTTGGTAAGAGTCGAGCCATAATTTAAGAAATATATATTAATCTACGCCAAAATAATAGAGAGACCAAGAAATACCTATGAAATAGTATAAAATCAATAAAACAGAAGTAAGAAGATCATTTCCGTCCAGTTGCTGCCAGTTGTAACGAACCTGCAATTAACATATATTGTGAAGCTTGAGAAAAATCAGATTCCCTAAGTTCAATAATGCAACTCAAAGCTTGGGGAAGAAGAAAGTCATACAGGAATATTAGCCAAAAAAGCAACAAGAGCACTGGTCGTGAAGCATATAACAGCTACAACTGCCAAGCCTGCTACCTGCACACACATGGATGAATATTTCATGGTGGGAGCAACATAATATTAAGTAATAATTGAGACAACCATGGTGGCAGGACATATTTCCGTGTCACATGCTGATAGGGTGACAAAACTGCTTCAGAATCTTCGTAGATAGAAAAGCTACAAATGATGATACCTTCCATATGTCTGAGGCCGCTCTCTCTGATCTCACTCGCCTCATTTTCAAGTACAATACAAGGCCTGTACATAACACAGATGAGAAATCAAGTTTTGCAGACAACGAAGAGCAACATGAGCAGCCAAAACCTTTATTCTGCCACCATTTCCACACACACACACACAAAAAGTATCCTACTAAACAATAACCATTTTATCAAGTCTGGTACTAGCCTCTAGCAGCTTCCTTTAACATGCTTCAAATGTCAAAAGTCAAAACTAATGTACGGAAACTGGCCCGCAACAGAATATCTATGGAGTTATACTTGTATCAAGTTCACTTGTGAGAGTGAAATCAAGCAACAACACTTTAGGAAAGAATCCTTTTGAAGCCTCCTAGTTTCTAAAATTTCATCAATTGTGTTGTAGAAAACTATTGCACTTGCATTCCAAATAAGATGGTTTCTGTTTCTATGATCAGAATATGCATTGTAGAAAACATGATCTACAATGGTTCCCAGCAGTTCCATGGCATGTCGAGTAATGCGTGATAAAATAAAAGCAGGCCTCCAGAAAAGCCGACTAAATCAGTGCTATGTTGTAAGCTAAAGCCAGAAACTATTAAAGCAAAGCAGTTCAAATGACATCATACCAAGACAGAGCCACAAGGGAATTGAACAATCCAGCTCAAAAAACAAAGTAGAGAGAGAGTCACTTACCATAACAAGCCAATGCTCCACCTAGCAATAGCATTACCACATCAGATATATCTTCATAGATCTGCAAGAGATAAAAATAATCCACACAACTCATCTATCTAATCACCATACGTGTAAAAGAGAAAGTTAAAGCCATCTAAGTGAAACCGCATAAAGTCATTGCAGCTCAATCATATGTCCCATATATTCAACCCTTTCCACTAAACCAACTAATATAGCTGGTTCCTTGTACTAGGATCTGGATCACTCCTACTGCTAACATTAGGGAAGAAATCACCTTGCAGTGATCCTTCACACATTTCTACACAGCAAACTAAAACAACTTTCTTCTTTATCAGAAAAACACAGCAAGAGACAAGAGCGGTATAAGTTTACCCCTCACCAGGCCACGGTTCTACATTACATAATAATTCCTTACAAGAGCGGTACTTTTTTTTAAGGTGAACTCCAATCATACTGAATCGGGTTTTATGTATCTGTCAAGCTGAACTGCCAAACTTTGGACATCAGAATTTCCTATACAGTGGTGCTATATTGGAAATCAGGCTTCATTTAAGTTCGAATCGTTCATTGAAACAAACGCTCTTGGAGGAGCCTACAGACAGAATGGATACAATATAAGATCAATGTTCAATTTCTCCAGAAGTCGCCTCAATCCAGACATTAAACAAATATTTAAACAGCATCCTAAAGTGTGTTATCTAGACAAACTGATAAGGATAAATGGAAGAAGCAGAAGAGAACTCCCAATAAAAGAAAGCAATGCAAAAAAGAGAATTTCCAAATGGCCATACCATGGCCAATAATGATGAATGACTAAAGCCATTGCTCATGTCAATCCAGAATAGTGTCGCACATGTTATTGTTGAAACAAATGCAAGAACGATGACCTGATAAGGAAAAACCAGCGATTATATTAGAATTGTGTTCCATTTTTCACAAGTCTGCAGGGAATTTACATGGCAATGGATTATACCAACTAAAAAAACAAAAGAACAAGTAACTTTGGTACCAAAATCACAACTCTTTGTCGACTTCCAACACGGATCGAGCGAAATGGCAAACATGCTCTTTGAGACTCTCCATGTGTCGAACCTGAGTGCTCTGGTGGCATTTCCAACAAAGGTTCATGGAAGTTGAAATCTTCCTCCTCATAATCCTCATCATCTGCCTGATGACAAAGGTCCACCCTAAAATATCACAAATAAGAACATTAGATTGCTTTGATGAGAGCACTGCCACTCTAAAGACACCCAGCACCTGGTACGACGCAGCACACCATAGATGTTCAAGACAGGCATAATCATTACAAATAAGGATGTTCACAGCATTCCTAAGTCCCAAACATCCCACAAAAATCCTACAATCACCAAAGTGGTTACTCGCTAAAACTGTATGAAATTGGAATGCTGAAACAGAACCAAGAAAAAGATAGTAGAGTCTTGACACAATTCACCTACATCATATATTCTACCATGTCATTCTAGACCTAGCTAAGCATTAACAACGTGGCCAGCGATATTGTCATCGAACATAATAAAACGAAAATCTGTCAGGCTGAACTTGCAAGGTTTTTAGGAATATGACTTGCATCTGTCAAATCTAGAAGGAGAAGAGGAGAATCTAGGGTTTTCATTTCATGAGCCATTCCACTACAGAAAAAATGTGTCACTGAGACTTGGTTGGACCACTCAATTTTAACAATCTAATATTCAGAATAGGAATAAGTATAACATACCAGAAGGATAAAAGCAGAAGAAAAGCTCCGAAAAACAAAATCTTGGAGAAGGCTGCGACCAAATAAAACACAGAACATCATTTCTTAAGTCATACTATGACCCTAATCCCACAATGGCCGTTGTATTGAGGTAAAGAAAGAAGATAGAAAAGTCATACCCATGAGGATAAAACCACACGAGTATGACCAGCATAGCCATTTGTTATGGTAAGCTATGGGACTTGCTGCGAAATAAAGAAAGTAACCTGACAAAAACAGAAAAAGGTATCCAGTTTAATGCAACTCGATGTGAATAGCACAGCATAAGCATGAGTATCCTAAATCTCAATGATATTAGGAACTTGCCATACTTTGACAAATCACATCAATCGAGAAAATTTTAACGGGATTTTGAATGACAACTTACCTAGATTAGAAGAGCCAACCAGTACATGAAACACCTGTAATTCATAAAAAAAAATTACCACGTAATTGTCAATGTAAGTGATTGGGGCAGAAATAACATAAATGAATAACAAATAAGTCATGATTGTTTGACTTGGATGCACAATTATGTAGACATACTGACATAGCTTCAGCAGTATTCAGAATGGGAAATTAAAAAATTACCAAAAGAAATGGGGCTACCATTCAAGACTGAGTTTCAGCATAATATGTATTACGCACAAGCCATTTTTACGTCACGTAGTCTTGAGTTTCCTTGTGAATATGTAAACCCATGCAGAAAACCCATGGAGAGGATGCCTATTTCAAGGATTTCAAAAGAAAACTGAAAACTGGATATAAATTTAAATTGCACACATGGTTGGTAGCTCACATAAGACCCATAAGAAGAAAAGATATGTTGACATCTAGGTCAGATAATTCACCAGACTTCTTTCATTTCAAACATCCATCTCCTCTTATACTTAAGATTTTTAACAACAAGTTGCCCCCAAGTCAGCCAACCTTTTCCAACAACATTATGTTACTCAACCCTCAGCTAAGTGAAACAAAAAGGAACGAAAGGCCAGGGAATACAGGAATTACCTTTTGTCTGGTCCAGCCAAGTTGTAAATTCCTTGAGTGAATTCTTATCAGCTGGAAAAAGAAAATGTGCATCCGTTACCAGTTGATCAAAACCATTCCACAGCAAATTCTATGAGTCTGTATCCTAGTGCTACTCTTATAGAGACAGAATCTAAACAGATTGGCTGCACAGTAGCACACATTGATCAAGAATCCAATCATTGTGACCCCAGGATTCTCTGGAACCATCATCATAACAATTATGTCCCTAGCAGCAACTAAAAACAGAATCTAGGCCGTCTGGGACAACGACATTTCAAACCCATGGAGACAACAGGTTAGACTCCGGCATCTAGGCCAATTTCAAGCATCAATGCCCCGACATTCGCGTCAAAAAGCAAAACCCATAACACTCCTACTAAGTCAGAATATTTCGACTCGGGCGCAGAAGTTTTGAACTACATTTCTTAGCCAATTGTCAAGCATATCCTCGATTCTTAACAATTGATAGACTTAGACGCAAAAGCAAACAAAAAACGACCACTGGGAAAAGAAAAATAGGAGCGGCGTCGAGAAACAAAACCTGATAGAATGCGAGAAAGGCGAGAATGCCGTCGAGAGAAGCAAGACCCACATTGACAGCCAACACTCCAGGATGGAAGCAACAGGAAGAAGACCTTTCTGTGGCCGCTCCAAACATCTCCACCCTCTCTCTATTTCTACTCTTAGGGAACAAAAACAAAAAGGACTAAACCCTTACAACTATCCCTGGCAAAGAGGAGGGGAATTACAAAGAGGGCACACAAAGGAGGGAAAAGAGAGAAGAGGGGAGCGGACGAACGAGTGCAATGGGAATCAATCTACAGAAAGGCGGAGAAGCAATGGCAATTGGGTTGTGCTGTGTATTGGTTTTACGAATATACGGGCAGCAGAAGGTGGGATCTTTTTCGGAGGTAAGATCTGCTCTACTTCTTAACACTCTGATTTTACGCTTTTCTCTGAGGCCTATCTCGGTGATTTTCTTCCCTTTTCTCGACTGATTCTGATGTACAGAGATAGAGAGAAAAGAGCTTCGCTATTCGGCTCTCGTTCTCGCTGCCCTCCGCCCTCGTACTATTTTCCGCGAAGATTAATCATGCGGTGACCAAGACCGAGAGAGACAATAGATTTCCCTTTCTCAAAAGTTCGAGAAAATCTCATATCATAATAGTTTAGAACTTAGTAGAATATACTTATTTTTCCTTTTAGAGGACTTGGTATATACTTGCATATCACTTTTATCCAACCTAGCTTATATGATCTAGTCTATTTTGAATCTCACAAAAACTTGACAAATTTATCGAAAGGAGTAGTTTATAATGAGGATTTTGATTCATTCGAAAGTAATTAATGATTTTCTCTCATTTACTTAGGGTTTTCAAGAGAGTGACATCTACAATTATGTTAACTTCATCATATTGCTCGAAGAGGGCTTTACTTTGTGACTATGATGCGATTGATACCAAGTGAGTTTTCAGAGTAGATCCCTAGTGGCGAGAAGCATTCTTTTGTACCTATTATGATTGTAGAGTTGTGTGAAACCTACGCCTAAAGAAATATGGTGGAATTGCAAAAATCAAAACCATGCATCAAGGGAGATTGATACAAGGTTACCGAGTATTCAAATGGAAGAAGATGATGATATACCATTGATTGTGAGAGAGGAAGGCATTAGCAAAGGAGATTGAAGTTGTACAAAAACTAGGGGTTGGTAACACGTTTGATTATCCTGCCAAACCCTAACGTAAAGTTCGTGAAAATAGCTCTAAAGTAAGGTGGTCATTAAGAAAGGATTTTGAGATTATAATATTCAAGAAGTTGCTTGCGTTCCGGGTTTTGGATATGTACAATCACAACGAAGTACGATTTCGAGGGCTAGCCTATCAGCTTGTGTAGGGTGTTGTATATGATTCTATTAAGGTGCTAGATTATTGATTAAAGAAGATTCTTGACTGAGTTGTAAAAGTAGCATACACATATGTGTATGGTTGTTACATTACAGGTAATGTAATGGTAGCGTTTGAGTGCTTCAATGTGATGAAGAATCAGACAAAAGAAAAACACATTATCTGGCAATGAAACTTGGCATTGCGAAAGCATATGACAAAATGAATGGCCTATTTGGAAGTTATCATGTTGAAACTTGGGTTCGATGTGAAGTAGGTTTAACTCATTATGTATTATGCCACAACAGTCTCATACTCGGTGATAGTTAATGGTAAGAAAATATAGACTTTTAGTCCAGGGAGGGGGACTGCGACAAGGCAATATGATGTCACCATATTTGTTTTACTATGTGTGGAGGGTCTACCGGCTTTAACCACTAAAGTGGTTAATGAAAGAAGGATGGATCAATGATCTCACATCTGTTGTTTGCATATGACAAATACATTTGCTCAATTGGACTAAGATTGAAAGATGGGTATTGAAGGAGATTGGAAGTTGATGAAATCAAAGCCCGTCACAAGGTTAATTTTGACAAGATTTAAGCTCTTCTATTGTACGAATGTGGAAACGTGATGGCAGGCAAAGTAGCAAATGTGATGGGAATGAAGCAAGTCGCCTACCATGAAAATTATTTGAAAACCAACCAAGCAAGTAATATAGATGTAGAATGTAATAAAACCTTGATGAAAGAAAATTTGAATAAGATGGTGTATACATAAGTTAGCCTCAGTACGAAGGTTCGAACCAAAATCACGAGTATTGAGAAGTTCAACGAAAAGGCTGGGGTTGAAAGTACACACTATGGCCTAGAAAGATGGAGGTGAAGTAGGACATCAAATGTCCATCACCCCTGCATATTGTGATGGAACAGGTGAACTACCATGGGATAGTAGTTTGAGGAGGAATTTTTATGGAGATCAAAGAAACTATTCCTTATATGAACTCATTTCCCTCTTGGGTAGTTAGGATGGACACCATGACCATGCCCAACTCATGTTTAAAATTTTCAAACTGGTCTTACCGTAATTGTTTGGTGAATATGTATGATGTTTGTTGGTCACTTGGTAGGGTGAAAAAGTGTATTTTTCCTTGATGAGCCAAATCGTCGAGCAAGTGATACTTAATCTCTATGCGTTTGGTTAGTGAATGCTATATGAAAACTAGAGGTTGTTCAACACACACTTCTTCATTTAGGAACCCATTTAGAATGACACTCTTAACATCCATTTGATATAGTTTGATACCTCTAACACTTGCAAAGGCACACGATAACCGAATTGCCTTGATTCTGGCAACCGTCGTTAACGTTTCATCAAAGTCAATGATAGTGTAATGGTCATCTGATGAGGCTATTCTAATTCATCTAATTCAAATTATGGATTAACTTCTTATAAACTAGGTTTACCATTAAAGACTAAATAATTGATGGATTATTCCATTGTAAGTGTTCTTTTGTTCATGATTATGTAGGTTGTGCTACAATTATAGAGTAGCCCAAGAATATTCCGCTAGTTTGATTTTTGGCTCCAATGTCCCTAGTTGAGATATTGGTATATAAAAGCCTTGGTTGTCACTACTGTTCATTAGTGGCCCCCACTCTCTCTTCTGCGACTGGTCAAGCTCCACTCGTTTCTTCAGCATTCGACCATGTGTCCCTCTTCTCCACTCACACAAAAACACAGAACACCTTATTACCCAACTCGCCGAAGATTGAACTCTGGGTTTTCGCTTTATCCGGCGGACAATCAAGCACAACCCTTACATGCATGCTTATTCATGTCAGCTTTTTCACACCCACACTCAAGCTTTTTCCTCTCTCAAACTCTCACCTGCCATGCTTTCCTTCCCATCTCATCTTTTTTGAGTTTTTTTAGCAGCTTTTTACAAATCATACGCAACCTTCCTTACCTCTTCCCATTCTCTGCTTTTCATCAATCATCACACACATCCACATTTTAACAAACAAGGCTTTCTCTTCTTCCAACCATTTCTCTCCTTTACATCTACCTCCGGTGAGAAGAATCTCGGCAGAATCCGAACTTCCTTTCTTCTCATCGCACTCAGCACCCCTAAAACACTAGCCACTGCCCTCTTCTGCTCCTACCTTCTGCACGCCACCTATCCCCCAATATATCTTCTTTCCTTTGCTCGCTCGCGACATCGACAAACATGTTGCCCTTCCTGCAGATCTCTCTTTGCGAAATCCCTAATTCGCCATCCTTGGCTTCCCCTAATATCACAAACCCCTACGGTAATCAACTTTGCTCAGCAATTTACAACCCTCTTCCGAGCACCGGCGGGTAATCCCTTATTCTTTCCCCAATTCATTGCTGAGGAATCGCCTTAGATATGCTCTTTCCGTCTTTGTCTGCCCTTTCTTGCCTATGAGTAAAGAGTGCAAGAAGATCCATGACTTGAAGAAGAAGTACAACAAAGAAGCTCCAGTCTCTCTGTTCACGAGAAACCGCCGAAGAAGAAGACAAGGATAGAAGGATTCGGTTGAGATGGAGAAGGGAAGGAAGAAGTACGCGGCCATTTCTCCTCTCACCTCTCTCTGTGGCTGGAAAATAGTACGAGGGTAGGAGTACGAGGACAAGATGAGCCCTGCCACGAAAAAGTAAAAACAAAAAACTCAAATCTCCCCCATGTGTCTCGGCTCGTTTACTCGAGACTCGCTCGGCGGCTTTGGTGTAGTTGTCAGCGACGAGCGCGGTGGTAAAGTTCCTGGAGAAAGGTTGCACAACTTTGATTTGGGAAGCAAGAGTTCAGATGGTGGTGGCGAGAGCATCGGCCGGCGGGTTTCAGCTGTGGGATTCTGTGGGTGTGGACACCGACATCACTACGAGCAAGCTGGCAGGAAAGTTCTCGAGATATGGGGTCTGGGGGAATAAGAGTTCTGAGGATTCACATTCAGTCGTGGGAGTTTTGTGCCGGGTAAAAACGATTGATGACAATTGCAACAATTGTTGTTCACTTGTTCTTTTTCTCTGTATTTCCAGACTTGCTCTATCATGAATGTATTTGATTTTCAGTCTTTTCACCAGGTTTGCAGGTGTTATGGTTTGGTCCACTACAAGGAAAAAGGATCTAGGTGAGTATTGAATAGCCCCTGCATACACTTTCATAATAATCTGATTCGATTGTAAACTTATATATTGTGGAGGTTCACCATTTAAAGCTTCCCCTCTGACTGATCATATATAGTTTCAGTTCACCTTTTAGTATGTTAAATAATTCTGACTTGATTAGCAGCTTATTATCATTCTTGAACAATTAATAGAAAGGGATGTGGTTCGTACAAGAGGAGATTGAAACAAAGAGACTACTTCCTCATGTGGAGGATGAACTGAAGAGCTGTAGTTAGGAGATAGCAACTGAACATAGAGAATTATGTCCTCTCTTAACTGAACAAGAATACAGCCAATAAAATAAAGGTTGCAACGGATTTTTTAATCTTTCCTTGCTTGATTCTTATTGCTTGATTCTTATAGTATCGTACAGTTCTGCTAGGTTCTATAAATTGAGAAAACTCCATCTTGGCTTCAATTTGGCTTCAATTAACATGGTTCGAGACTCCAGACCTTTTTCCTGCTGTGTCTCAATCACTTAATTGTGATTTTAATTTTCCCCTGTTAGGTTGCTAACACAGGCATGGCGGTCTATTCAGCGTTCAAGAATATGTTGTTATTTCGAGAGTTAGGTCGGCTGATGGTTTGAAGTTTCATATTCAAAATGAAGATTACATTTACGAAAACTACACAAGGAACATTGTATACATTTGATGAGCTTGGTGGTGAATCTTGCTCTATTCCTCCCAATTCTGGAAGATTGCCTGTGCCCAATCGTTGGTACACTAGCTTTATATGTTGCCACTTACAAGTGCTTATTCTTTAACCATGATAGGGATGCCTACTACTTGCTGCAACGTTCCACAGTGACACATTCATGCCTAAAAGTTTGTTTCTTTTAGGTCATATAAGTCATTCTTGCTTTCTATCATACTGATACTTCTTACCTACAGAACCGAAGGCCCTTTGTGCGGTTGGCTATTATATACATGTTATCTGCAAAGTTATCCTATATTCTGTGTGCAACCAAATGTTATTGTTTTCACATCCTTGGCTGCTGCCATTATATGCTTCATAACCAATTAGATTTATATGATTAGGCATCTTGAAATCCTAGGATACATACTTGATGATTGTATGGTTGGTGTTCGAGTCGTCCTGTTGATTCCAGGATACGTTTTGAGTATGGCTTCCCATTATCCAGTGCTCATTCTCGGTTTTAGAGTTCTAATATACTGGCAATTCCATAGTTGTTGAATTGCTTAGCCTTTTGTTCTTATCTGTTCCGAAAAATAATACTGCTGCGGCCCAAGCTATATTCGGCCCACCATCTATAAAAAGTGAAAACACCAACACAGCCTAAAAACAGGAACACAACCCACCAGCAAAGACCACCAATCCAACAAACACCGACTTCTCATGAGAAATAGAATGATTAACCATATTGGAGTTAACTTATGCTATGTTCATCCAGACAGGTAATATGTTTTTGTTTGTGCGCGAAGCGTAGCGAGCGGGTCCTTGCTAGTAGTCATTAAAACATAACATTCACATCCAAAAGGTACATAGCTTAGGTTTGACTTCCTTCCTTTCTAGAGTTCATATGGTGTTTGATTCTACATAGGTATAATTAGTATCCTATTCAAAATGACTAAAGGAAGTTTGCAATGAATGTTGTTTTTAGGGCTCTAGAGACTCTGGAGAATTTTTCAAGGAATTTAACCATAAAAAGAAATATTTTTTTCAAGGAATTGTGAATGAATTAGCATGATCTTGAGATGAAGTAATTTAATTAAATGGATTAAAATGGGCAAAGAGAAAAATTGTAAGGCATGGTTCTGTGAAGTTTTGGAAAGAGGAAATGTTGATGGCCTATGGTATATCTAGAGATATTACGGTAACCACATGTTCAACCATCCTAAACTAGAAGACTGGGAAATGATAGGAAGGAAGAAGGTTATTAAGAAGAGTTCATGGAAAATCAACATTGCATGTCTTTAGCAAGCATAAAATATGATAAGTGGCGTGATTTTCCCATGACAAATCTTATGACGAATCTTCACAACAACTTAACTTATGCTAAAACTCACAATGTATGCATAGGAAGTTAGGAACACATATCAGCATAAGCTAGCTTGCAATGTGGCACTACAACAAATTCGGCCTATTATGACGAGGAAATTTTGTCATATTAGATACACTTTTTGTCAAAAGGTGTCGTCATGAAGTTTTGTCATTTTATCGCCGTCAAGATAGGTCAAATGTGACAAAAATTTAAAACAAGGTTGTCACATTTGCTTTCATTAGAGCTCAGGTTCTGGTAGTCTATTGTGACAAACAGAGATGTTATGACGACTTAGTTTGTCATTAATTTTGTCATAATTTGCTTATTTTGACAGAATTGTTCGTCATATTACACCACTATATTTTGACATCACATAATTGTGACGAACAAATTTTGTCATAAATGTATGGTGTGGCGAATATATTTTGACATAACTTTATATTAAGAGGAACGTATCTTGTCATACCTGCATATTGTGACCAATATGATTTATTCATCAATATATTGAATTATATATAGTTGAAAAATTAATATTCTTGTAGCATGAAACTCCGATGAAACAAACACTAGTTACACATCTAACTATTTTTGGTGTCCTAAACAAACTAATCTGGGAATTCTGAAGCCCTCGACAACGCTGGCCTATTGTTGTCACTGTTGTTGCCGCTTATATGTTCATACAATCCGTAGAGAAAACCTACATCAAATTGAAAGCTGAGACAACGCAAACCTTGGCATTCTGCCCAAACTCTTTCTTGAAGATATCAATAGAACCAGGTCCACAAACATCATGAGTCATCAAGATATCAATGCCTACCCAAACATTTTCACCGGGACTCAAATGGGTCCTCTCAGAAGCCCTAGCCAAGATTTTCTCAGTCATTGTCATTGCATTCTTCACCTGCATCAAAATCTTCCGTTACCAAAATGAACAGAATCGAATCGGTGGCTAGAAGGAATTACAGTGAAAGAACGTGAGAATAGGACACCAATTCCTTCTGTCAAAATGGGAAAACCCCAAAAGACACGACAATTAAGAAAAGGAACTCAAATTGATGCTACTGCTAAAAGAAAACACAAGATTAGAACTCAAGATAAAAGAAAATAATGAAATCTGAAAAACTAGAAAATCCCTTGCAGCAACGAACATGTTTTGAAAGAAAACTCAACATCTCTCTATTGTACAAGGATGCTTCTAACCTTATTAAATTACCTGAATCAATTGATTAGGAGTAGGTCGTAGAGGACTAGGGAAGAGTGAAGATTGACGTAGGTCTAGAGCTGCGATTTTCGAACTACCATGAAATTGAGTCGGACCAGCGGATTGAGTGGGAGGTCCAATGACGGGACTGGCTAGCGACAGCGTTTGAGGGAAGCCCAGCGGTGAGTAGTTGGTGTCTAGAAAAGTAGTTTCGGTAAAGCGACCTTCTGGCCATGCCAAGCGAGTCAGATTCATCGACTCTTATCTTCTTATCAATCGTCTCTCTGCATGAATCAGACTAAAAATTAAGGGTGAATTCAGAAACCCAAACATAAGAATAACAACGACAACCAAAACTCAAATCTGCTGGTGAGTAGATCTGCCGCCATGAGGGAGGAGAGAGAGGGAGGGAAATCATGTGTGCCTCTGACGGTTGTTGGGTTTCTCGCAACCTGCGACGACGATCAGAGGTTGTGGGAGACCTGATTTCCATGTTCGTGATTTCTCTCGGACGATAAACAAACTCGAGCCAAAGATGGAGGCAGAGGGAGGCTACTCTGTCCGGCGACTTGGAGTGCGCCCGTCGATTGCAAGGAGAACGACTTCGACGTCTGTCGAACCGGCTACAGGAGACAACGATGAGGGGCGGACTGGCGGAGAGAATTGAAGGAGCGAGATTGATTTTGGCCGTAGGGTTTCAACTTCGTCTTTGATCTGCTGCAACCTCCACAAATTGCAGCGAAGGGAAGGAGAGCAAAGTGGAAACAAAATCACACAGTAAGAAAAATAAAAGAAAATCCCGAAAAATTAAAAGGCGGGCCACCGGGCACTTAAAAAATTTCAATAGTCAAAAGTTTTGTGGGAGAGCGGCAATTTGAGTTTCCTTTCCCGCCCATAGATAAAATCACGGGAAGGCATAATATGGCAAAACATGCCTTTTGTCAAAACCGAAACCATTATATTAATGACGAACATATCCTTTTGTCATGTCGCCGTGGGATTATTGTTATCTATTGTGACAAAATACTTTGTCATTTAAACAATTCAGGAAGACATAATATGACAAAATCTACTTTGACGATATAATTTGTCATTTTTTTGTCATATGAGATGCCTATTTTGACAAACTTAAATGTGACACGAAATATTTGTCACATTACTCGCCGCGTTAACTGACGACTTATTCTGACAATTTTTTTTTTGTCACATTAGGTATACCAAATATGACATATATTATTTTTGTCATATTACCATACCTATTGTGACAAATATAAAATGACAAAATAAAAATTTTGTCCTAATAGGCCGAATTTGTTGTAGTGTGGCCTAAACACGATAATTGAACACACAAACGCTTAGATCATGCGCAAGTTTATCAACACCAATTTCAGCATCATCAGAACTCTTTAACAGCAGTCGCGTGTATAGATAAGAAGCTAGGTATACATTACGCATCAAAGTGGAAATTTTACATCCCCTTAAAATTTACTTTCCTTTTCTGGTTCTGCAATCAAACTCGACAAAGTATTCCAGAATCAGTCTCGAAAAACATTGCCCGGAGAGACTAATATCCATACCATCTTCTTATGACAAATTCGGAATTCCCCCCCCCCCCCCCCCCCCCCCCCCCCCCCCTTCCTTCCATTAACTAAATAGCCATTGAGCACCTTAAAAAGATAAAGATGCATTAATCCACTTTTGGTATATCCTGTATTTCATCTCAAAAGGGAAGAACACAAATGCTTTGAACCATTTTCACAGTCCTTCCAGCTCATCGACAACTCATTAATCTCTTATATAAACTCATTAACCCTCAACCCTTACATAATTCATCACCACAAAGAGGCCACTTCTCCTTCTTTCTCCCCGCTAAACTACAATAATGGCTGCAGCGGCGAAGAAGACGAGAGGAAGGCAAAAGATCGCCATGCAAAGGATCGTGAACAACGACGACCGCATGGTCACCTTCTCGAAGCGCAGGTCGGGTCTCTACAAGAAGGCCAACGAGCTGGCCACGCTCTGCGGCGCCGACGTGGCGCTCCTCATCTTCTCCCAGGCCGGTCGGGCCTGCAGCTTCGGCTCGCCGTCCATCGAACCCGTCGCCCACCGGTTCCTGGACCGGCCCGGCCCGCCCCTTCCCCGGTTCGAGGAGGCTCAGCGGCGTGCGAAGATCAACGAGTTGTGCCAGCGCCACGACGAGGTCGTGGAGCAGGTGGACGCGCTGAAGGCGCGTCAGGGGGATCTGAGGAAGGTGATGACGTGGAGGAAGGCGCGATTGGATTGGTGGGAGATTCCGGTCGGGGAGATGAACCGGGACCAGCTCCGGGTGAGTGAATTTCTCTTCGGGGAGGTTGCTGCGGCTCTGGATGAGAAGGTGAAGGAGAATAATTATAATAATAACAATAACTTCGGGTCGTCGTCGTCGGCGGGGTCTGGTGCTAATCCGGGTGGCGCCGGCGGAAGCATTTGAGTGTGACTTTCGAAGGTTTTATTAATGTGGCGAACATTTCAGAAAATATACTAAGTTATCGTTCTTGGTGTACTTTTGAAGAGTTTAATTGAATAAGTAGCGTTCACAACTTCACATAAAATTTATAGTTAGCTTTTATCACAAAATTGGAAAGTAGTATAAATCAAAACAAATGTCGAACACAAATGAGGCGTCTATAATTTAGGTTACCAATTCGTGAAGCGCGAGAGGAAGAGCGAGAGCGGGCGAGGAAGAGCGCAAAAGGCATTTATTCTCAGAGAATGATGTGTTTAGAGTGTCGATGGAGCGTATATCTTATATTATTTTGATTAAAATATTATTTAATATCATACCAAAATTTTAAAACATACTAAATAATTATAAACAGAAAATTAAAAAGATACAAGGTACACCTAGGCTAGAAATGAAATAGGAAAACTTAATAAGCCCAATTAATATCAAAGTGATTATTATTATCATTTTATTCATAAATGAACTACCTAAAATTGTTCTTTTTTATAAATTTATTTATGTTGTATTTTATAATAAAAAAAATTATAGGAAGTACATGCCTCTCCCCCTCCCACTACAACCCACCAAAATTTTCGCAAATGATATCCTGATTCTCTCTCATTTGCTTCCCAAACTTTCCCAACCATTCGTCTTCAACCATAGTCCCCTTCCTCCCAAAAATTTCCATCCCCCATAATTTTTAAGGGTACAATACAGAAAATTATAGTAGCAATTCGTACAATCTGTGTATCAGAATCCACCTTAAAATTCTAGTCGAGTCTCTCTACAAATTCAATTATAAGCACTCAATCCAATTGACTTAACAAACCTCGTAGATGGCCCATATTCTACTGAGTCATTTCATATATCGTCGGTAATTAATAGATCATCTTCTCGTTTGTGAGTTTTATACGAATTCCTCCCAATTCAAGTTTGTGCTCTGGAGCAGGATCATCGTCCCTTATCACATGAATTGTGTAACCTAATTTACAATAGAGACAAACAAACTAAACAAAATTCCAAATGAGCTTCATTTTGAATCATCGTGTTGGTACTTTCCCTCCTAATGCACTCATTGGCTATCCATACCTCAACTTCAAGAGTTTTCTCCAAAGTCAAAGACCCTATTTGAGACTCTTTCAAATCCCAGAATTTAACCTGTGTCGATTCACCCAGCGAACCCAAATGCTTTGTTTGGGAGGAGATGCAATTATATGGGTGCATATTATAAGGGGTAAGTGGCATTCTCAAGATAACTGCACTCGTTTGGTTTGCTAGGAGTTGATAAAGTAGGGTCAAATTAACTGTTCTACCTCCCTCCTAAAATCGGGATGCAAAGAAGGGAAAAAGTGGAGGTTGATTATTTATATTATATTAGAGGGGAAATGTAGAAAAATGGTGGATTATCATAGAGTGGTGGGCCATGATGAGTGGGAACCTGAGAAATGGGTGGGTTTTGAATATTTTTTTATTTGTTTTGTTTTATTTTAATTATAATAATTATTATATTAATATTTATATTTTACCCCTACCATTTGCACCCCTTACTTTGTCTCCCAAACAACAATTTGCACCACCATTTACACCCATTTACAATTTGCTCCCCCTATAATTTACCTCTCAACTTGCACCCTCTTTGAATTTGCACCCCTCTCGTTACTAAACATAGCGAAAATAAGTGTGCTAGAGGTGTCCAAATCACATGTGGCAATAACATACATTCAATATTCAAGTCATGATATCCTTTAGGGTCTACCCTTCTCTACATCCAGAATGTAACTGATGGGCCCTTTACAATGATAGCCTTGAGCAATCTCCTAGGTAGGGCTGCAAATGATCCGAGTCGAGTTTTACCCCAGCTTGAGCTCGGCTCGTTAATAAACGAGTCGAGCTCAGCTTGTTTATTAACGAGCCGAGTCGAGTCGAGTTCGAGCTAACTTGTTTACTAAAATCTTGACTTTTATTTGGTACTTCATTTTGTATATCATGATACATATGATTTATTTTGTTAGCTAATCTCATATTATACTTTGTTGGTATCATATATCATTTAGTTAATAAATTTTAACTACTCCAAATCATGTTATTTCATAGTAACGAAGCAATCTATGATACATAATGTTTTTTAGAAAATAAGTTATATTTGCTCACATACTCAACATTTTAAACTTTATATATGGTGAGATATATAATTTAACAACCATATGAATTAAAAACATAAGATATAGATTGATTCGTCCATAATTTGGTAATCGAGTTGGCTCTCTAGCCACATGTTGAGACATATCATGAGCTCTAAACGAGCCAGCTCACGAGTTTAGCTCAACAAGCCACCGAGTCGAGCTAGCTCGCGAGCTTCACGAGCTGAAGAAAGCTTAGCTCATGTTCGGCTCGTTTATTAACGAGCCAAGTTTCGAACGAGCTTTTATCGAGTCGAACGCCGAACCGCTCGCGAGCAGCTCGACTCATTTGCAGCCCTACTCCTAGGTCATTAGAATGTAAATAAAGTAAAGCAATGTATTTGTAATTTGATGCTTTTAAAAGAATAGGAAAATTTTAGTGTATTCAACTTTTTGGGAAAAGAAAGAAGAGGGAAATTAGGTTGTTTGAATATTTAGAAAAGGAAAAGAGGGAATTTTGGTGGTTTTTATTTGTGAGAAGTGAAGGAGTGGGAAAGTTTGGTTCTTTTGATTATAAAAGAGAAATAAGTAGGGAAATTTTGAGTTTTCAACTTTTTGTGAAAGGAAGGAAGGAAGAGGGAAATTTGGTTCTTAAAATGGAAGAGAAAGAGGAGGAAAGTTTGGTTCTTTCAATTTTATGAAAGAGAAAGAGGAAGAAAAATTGAGTGTTTCTAATTTATGGAAAGAGAAAGAAGAATGATAATTTTAGTATTTTAATTTTTTTTGTGAAAAAAGAAAGAAGAAAACAAATTTGGTGTTTACAACAATCATTTATTTTAGAAAAATTCACTTAATTTGTCTACTTGTTTTCTATGCTTATGGATTTATTGCAATTTGAACACTAAGTGGTCGTTATTTTTAGTAAAATTTTCGCACATTTAAGTTGTGTTCAACTTGAACGTTCATTTCAAAATGGGTGTTAAACTTGGCATGTTAAGTGTTACGATTGCAATAACTCAGTCGGGTTGAGGGTTTGAAAATTTTGGTTAATCGGGTTGCGGGTAACTTCGGAATGGAAAATGAGAGGGAGGTTTGGATGAGAACTTTGGAATGGAAAATTTATGGGCTGGTGAATATGAGCCAACAATTATACTAAACTTGATGAGTAATTTTTTATGGTTCGTTGTTTAGGGTATAAAGTGTATGGTATAAGGTATAAGGTACACATGGTTTAGGGTGTATGTGGTTAGGGTACAATGTATTGATGGTTTTGACTTTTCTAAGTTTTTTATTAACATATGTTCACTGGAAGTCATTTAAAATCTTTAACGGCAGGAGATCTCTTTTTCAATTTATGTTTATGGTACGTGGTTAGCGTACAGTGTATATGGTTATTGTAAAAAAAAGGGTTTAGGGTATAAGAAATGTTGTCAGTGTATAATATATGGTTAGGGTATAAGAAATGTTGTCAGTGTATAATATATTGATGGTTTAGGGTATACGATCAACAACATATATTAACTTAATATTGTTGATTGAGAGTAAGGCTAAGTGTATAGGATATATGTTATTGAGTAAGTTATGATTGAAGTCACAACAATTTCACTAAATTTGATAGTTAATCTTTAATGGTTCAATTTTTAGGGTAATTCGAACAATTTTACAAATAACTTGTTTGACAACAGTTTACTGAAGTTATTAGGCAATGAGTTTTTTCGAAACAACTCATTTTACCACTCTGTTTTTGCCAAATACAACACACCAAATACCAGATTTGCATGGTTATACTAAACGAGATAACCAAATAAATAATTAATGGTGTCTTTTGGTTGCAAATGTTGATATAACCATTACTATTAGCTAGTGTACTTTACCAATTACGATTAATTACATAACAAGTATGCAAGTCATATAAATTGATTCAACATTTTGACTAATTTTTCTAATATTAAGTATATATACGAGGTAGACAGAAATTGGTTAAAAATTGAGAAAAATATTTTAAATTAGTGTAACAAAATGTGTAAGTTGGTAACGAGTAAGGAGTAAGTACTCGATGCGCTGACCCAAACAGCCTGCACCCCGATCATCCCGCAACCCGCCCGACCCAAAACCCGATAACCCCGTAACGCGATTTGCCCGCAACCCGATTGAACCCAAACCCAATGAACCCGCAACCCGTTTGAACCCGCAACCCATTTAAACCCGAACCCGATTGAACCCAGCCCGAACCCGCCCGATTGACACCTATAGTTTTGATTAGTAAAGCTAAAGAGTTTCAAACTTTTATGTGGATTAGTCCTCGATTTCCATAGATGACACACTAAATATGTTGTCTGATTATTCTTTCATTTTTCTTAATTGTTCATTAGGGTATTAGAGCCTACGACATGGTTGAATATGAAAGATCGTTCATACGCCTCAATTATGCAAACTACCTACCCACTATAGGAGTTGCAATTTAGGATGTTCTTCGAGGGATGGAGATCACTTGGCATCCTCTACGGTACAGTTCCGAAACTCGCAACCATGGTGACCGAGGCTAAAAAAAAATTGACCGTCATTGTTGCGCGCCAGTTTTTGAGATCCAACTCACCGGCCTTGCACGTATGAAGCAACGAGGTCTCTCAATTAGTGAGTACTTTAACTCGAATTGAGAATTGCGTACCGAACATGATCTCCTTAACGCTTTTACAATTTCTAATGAGACTCCGAAGTATGAAATCAGTTCGGTCATCTTACCGAACAAAAATGATTTAAAATTTAATGGAGTGCTCGGAAACTGGTTTGTGAAGAGATACGTCCCCGAATACAAGCCCAAATTGACCTACGACAAGGTGAAGGGAAACATTAGTTGTTGCTTCAGCTAGGGGGTGACGAATTTGTTTACTAGAGCGAATTGGTATAATTGTGACCGACTATTCGGCTACATTTTCTTCCAGATTCGGTTGGATGGATAGCGGATGTGTGCAGTTGGATTGTGGTTTAAACCGCAAACACAATTCTCCTGCTAACATTTATAAAAAAGGATTGGCCATTCAAACAAAAGGAAATGCCCCCGATTTCCGCAGAGACCTATATCAATCAAGTGATCGTCTTTAAGTAGGTACATACAATTACATGGGCCGCGGGGGCGGAGCGGCCTTCGTTGAGGCCCACCACATGTGCGAGAAAGCTTACCGTACCTAGAGTAGACTAGAAATTTGTTGGGGGAGGGGAAAGGAGGAAAGAGGAATCAGCTTTAGAGGAGCATGGCGGACCCAATCCATTCTTGTAGCGATAATTACGACTTGGGATGGGAGGAAATTCCTCGCAATTGTTGGGTGAAGTTAGTGGCCAGCCAGGGGCACTTGTTGACTTTGACTTGGGCCACGCCAACAGATAGAGACATATTGCTGCCGCCATAACACATTAGTATTTATCAAGCTTATCAACTCGCGGGTCAACCCACTTTGACCCTGACCCGGTGAGGAAAATGGATTACACGCACCCGTCGGGTCGACCGCTATAAGGTACCGAGTTGGAGGTCAAATTGTGTCATTTTTTTCTTTGGTTTACGAAATGTGCCTATTTTCCGATTTTTCTTTTCGTCTAACTCAATCTTTAGAATTTTAAGTTGAACATTTGAATATTGATGTCATATAAGTGTGTGTGAATTTTCACGATATAAGTACGACATGTTATTTTGACGTAACATTATATGTTATGACTCATATATTACATGAGATTTGATATAATTTATCAAGATAAGTACAATATAATGACTATTTCCATATTTTCGAACTAAACCAGATTTAAACGGGTGACCCATTAACTCTTGACCCACTAGCTCGACCGAGTCCGGGTCAACCCGCGTGTATTTACTATTTAGCATAAGCAAAAGCAGATAAATTAGTGACTTGTGTTGTGGCCTGTGGGTACTGTGTAGTGAACCAGCTTCAACTTCAAGTCTTCAACGCGCTGTGGACGGACGATTTTCTTCACCGGAATTTGAGAAACCTATCTGCTCAAATCTGGCGGCTTTCTTCCTTTACCATCCTCTTTTAAATTACACATCACCATCATGATTTGTGGGGGAAGTTAATTACTCCCTCCTTTTTTAACTTACATCACCATCATTATCCTTATAGAAGAAAGCCAAAATTTTAATGTATGTCACAGCTTTTATGATAGTAGAGTACTCCTCCGGGTCTTTGAAATTATTTTACGTCTATCTAATCTGAGTTAATTAATTATGGGAACTTTAACTAAGTTTCTGTTTGAGCCACGACGCCCTGCTAGAACACCCACAAATCTCCTCTCGACGGGCGCCTGCCTGCACACACGAACACGGAGGGGGCGCCTGGGCCCGTTAATCATCCGACGCTCAAGTTAGTTTCCTAGAGAGGGAAATGTCTCAAAGTAAGAGTTTTAGTGAGAGAATCCAACCTGTGTAAATGCTACCAACTGGCCCTATTTATACTCACCGAGTTCGAGGTTGATCTCTTCCACGTCACTGTCTCCATTTAATGCCTTGTACTCTCCTTGTCAGATATCCCAACTGCCTTGTCAGGCTTCTGGCACGTGACAAGCGCCCGCAGACGATGGACCACTTGACAGGCTGGCCTCCCTTGACAGTCTGACTCCCTTTGGCTTCTAGTGTTTTGTCTTCATGCGCCCCTCACCTTGCTTGGGCCTATAGTTGCTTTACACTTCCATTTACGGGCCTTGTCCTCAATTCTGTTGCTTGGAGGCCCAAACTACCGCTCGTTGGGCCTCACTCGTAGTACCCCCAACAATTGCCCCCCCAGTTAGGTGCTCATGGCTTCACCTTTGAGCGCCTAACTGATTCTTCTATCGTGGCCTTTCATCCTCTTTGTTTACAGGCGCCCGATTTCCAGGGTGCGCCGGTCTTTACGGCACTTGAATTCTTTATTGACCATCCTTTGTCGCCCTGTTCCCCTTGGGATTGACTCACCTAGCTTTATTTTCGCTGGTAGGCGCCCCACTTTTAATGACGCCCTCTGTTTTGTGTGCTTTCCCCTCGTGATTTATGGGCGCCTTTCCGTGGAGCTATCTGTGAGGGGTGTCCCTAGCCCTTATGCCGCCCTCAGGGGTGGGGTTTTGATATGGGCCCACATTTTCCTTGCTTGGGAAATTTTAAATTTCGAATTTCGAAATTAGAGAATTTGAAATTGGAATTTTGGAAATTTCTAAAAAGGGAAAAGTGGGGGGAAGCTCAAAAGCCCGCCCGTGATATTGACACGTGGCACGCGACGCGGGCCTTGGTTCGGGTCCTCCTCCCCTTTAAATACCCCCTCCTTCCTCAGTTCTTGTCACTTTCTTCCAATCGACCTCTCTCTAAGATTTCGCTCTGACTTCTCTCTAGATTCCGTTCTGACTTCTCTCTATATTCCTCTTGCAATCGTCATCACTTCTTTCTAGTCAGCCAAGAATGTCGTCGCCACAACAAGACAAGACTTCCGGTCAAGGCGCCTTTGGCACGGGTGTGACTGGTGCAGGAGCCTCGGGCGCGGGCGCCTCAGGCGCGGGTGTTGAAGCAAGGCGCCCGACTCACAGTGGTAAGGAATCTTCTCTTGTTGGTTATTCGTTTTGGATTTATTCTAGCTATCTAGGGTAGGGCGTCACTTACTCTTCGTCAACGTTGCGCTTCGGTCGTTTGTTGGTTTAGAGAGGGCGCCTGCTTCTACGTCCGCTGGTCCGTCAAGCGTCTCGACTCCAGGTTTCATGCCCGCGGACGGGTCTTTCAAGATTACGACGTGGGAGACCTCCTTTCCCCCCGACCATCTTCCAATGGAGACGTCCCAGTTGCCCTTCGACGTGGTCGGGCCGATGCATACGTCGACTGTTACCCTTGCCCGCGTACATGAATTGGTGACCAGCCTCCAACTCCCTCGCGACTGGTGGTATGCGCCTCCGTCTGCGAATTCGCGAGTGGGCGTCTGCGGGCCAAAGTGGATTGGGGTGTACCAGTAACTCCGGGGAAGAAAAGGCTGAGCCCTTGATTCGCCGGGGGAAGCGAGCTGGTTCCCCCTTGGACAACGTCAGCAAAAAAGCTGACAGAGGGAAGAAGAAAGCGGGCGCCGCCGCCTCGGGCGGTGGGGAGGGCGCCCAATACCACCTCAATGAAGAGGGGCGTTACGTGGGCCCCGATGGGCGCCCTCCTATTTTTCAGCCGCGCCGCTCGAATGTTGGGCCCATCGACTTGCCCTGCTCCCCACTGGCGGCAGTCGACCGAGGTTGCGCCATGGGGTTGGTGATTACGGCCGCCAAGATGTGGCAAGTTCCGTCAGAGATGAACGGGGATCATCTCTTCGCTGAACTGGCTCAAGTGGGCGCCAAGGTATACACTCTTTTACTTGTTCTCTCGTATTTGCGAAATTTCTTTTTACACAAACGATAATCCTTCTTACGTGGCGTATGCAGATCCTTCTTTTTGCTAAGAGAGGCGCCCGAAGCCTCTCTGAATCCAAGCGAGAGGCGCTCGAAGCCTCTACCTCTGCCTCCTCCATGAAGCATGACTTGCAAAACGCGACTGAGCATCGCGAACAATTAGTGAAGGAGTGCGAGGAAGCGCAGATAAATGCGGCCATTTAGGTGTCGCAGCTTCAGGGCGCTCTTGACGAAGAGCGCAATAAGTCGGCAACCCTTCAGGCAGAGAAGGAGGCAGGCGCCCAAGCGAGCGAGATAGATATCCTCAAGGAGGAGAAGAAGATGTGGTAAGACGCCTACAAGGAGAGTAAGAAATCCTTGAAAGAGGCGCGGAAAGAAATTTCCAACTTACGCCATTCTTTGGACACCTTCGAGGAGTATGAGGCTGGGAAAAGTATGAGCGCCAACGCCTGCTTGACCGGCCTCGAAATTTTGAAGGTTAAGTTGGAGAAGGATCACTCCGACCTTACTTGGGACTTCACCAAGATGGCCGAGTATGTGATCGGAGAGTTGGATACCCCCCGTGAAGCGGGGAGGGCGCCCGAGCCTCCTACTGCCGATGCGCCTCCAAGCGATTCTGCTCCTACGTCGCCTTTCCCGAAGGCGCCTAATGCTGGATATGCCAACTCAGGAGCTGAGTAAAGAATGGGCGTCAACTAAGTAGGATCCTGTTTTTTTTGTTTTGTTTTGTTTGAATATCTATAAAGACGTTTCCGTTGGTGATTTAATCGTATCTTGGGGTGCTTGGTTTTACTTAACTTTGATCGCTTTTTAGGGCGCATAAAATGTGGGCGCTTTGTAGCCATTGGGCGCAAAGTTGGGCGCGATTTCTGTTTTTCATTGATTACCGCATTCCGAGGGTGCAAATTTGGGCGCGTTACTGCTCTATCTTAGGGCGCAATATTGGGGCGCTTTGTGATTGAAGGGCGCGAAACTGGGCGCTTTACTGACTTCCCTTAACTCTTTAAACACATAATCGGGCGCAAAGCTGGGCGCTTTTACTAACACGAAATTACTGGGCGCAAAGTTTGGCGCTTTTACTGAATGCGAAAAGGCGGAAACAAACATGAAGTCACTATTGGGGTGCTAGAACACTGGGAGCTTTGGACACGATACGACGCTATTTCGACGAGCGCTTTAGTCACAACACAACGCGCTTACACACTTGTTTTTTACGTAGACAAACACTTACAACTACGACCGCCTTTTGCCCTTTCTGGTTCTCGTCAGGTGGAGGCGCCTCCCCTTGGTGCGGCGCCTTCTCGAAAAATCGCAGGTTTTGTGCGTTCCATGTTCTTTTCACCACTCTGCCGTCAGTATGCTCTAGTTTGAACGTATTGGGTCCTACCACCTCTCGAACTCGATATGGGCCTTTCCACTTTGGTGCTAATTTTCCCTCGTGGGCATATGGACAAAAATCACGCTTGAGAACTAGGACGTCTTCAATGATCCCATGGACACGCATCTTCTTGTTGTAGTATCGGGCCACTTGTCGCTTCATTTTTTCCAAACGGATTGCCGCCACCTCCCTTACCTCATCTGCCATGTCCAATTCCTTAGTCTGTGCCTCGTCATTGCCATTTGGGTCGTACTGGACAACGCGGTAACTTGGGATGTTGACCTCCACTGGAATGACTGCCTCGCTTCCGTAAGTCAAGGCGAAGGGTGTTTCTCTGGTGGCGGTTTTGTAAGTTGTGCGATGCGTCCACAACACATTTGGCAGTTCCTCAACCCATTTGTCCTTGGCACCCGCCAACCGGGTGTGCAACCCGTGAATGATACTTTTGTTGGCCGCCTCCGCTTGACCATTTGCTTGTGGGTAAGCCACCGAAGAAAACCTCAACACGACACCATTGTCATCACAGAACTCCACAAACTTCTTGTAGTCGAACTGTTTTCCATGGTCTGTGACAATGGACTCAGGCAAGCCGAAACGAGTGAATATGTTCTTTTTGGTGAACTTTCGCACCTGGGCTTCTGTGACTGTGGCCAAGGGTTCTGCCTCTATCCATTTGGAGAAGTAATCGACTGCTACTATCAGGTATTTCATTTGCCCGGTCGCCTTGGGAAATGGTCCTAAGAGATCCATGCCCCATTGGGCGAATGGTCAGGCTCCTACGCTGCCTTGCATGGGCGCCGCCGGTATGTGAATGTCGTTTGCGTGAATTTGGCACTGATGGTAGGCACTCACATGTGCCTTTGAGTCTCGCCTCATTGTTGGCCAGTAAAATCCTTGTCGCAGCAGTGTCTTCTCCAAACTTCGTGCTCCTGCGTGCGTGCCGCACGTTCCGCTATGCACCTCCTCGATTGCCCCCCTGCTTTCCTCCTCGTTCAGACATCTCAAGTATGCTCCCGCGTGAGACATTTTGTACAACTTTCCCTCAATTATGGAACACCGTGCCGCTTTTCGGCGGAGGCCCCAGGCTTTCTTCGGGTCATCAGGCACCACGCCTTGGGTCAAGAACAGTACGATTGGCGCCATCCATCCGGAGTCGGCGCCCACACTTCCCAGGGTCGCGACCAAATGTTCATGAGGCGCCTCTACGGTGACTATGACTTTCCGTTCTTCTGCGAAATCCACAGCAATTGCTAGCTTGGATAAAGCGTCTGCGTGAGAATTCTCATTACGTGGGATGTGAACAAAGGAGATTTCCCCAAACCAGGCTCCCAACTCTCGAACTCGTCGCACGTACCCTTCCAGTGCTTCCTCTTTTACTTCAAATATTCCGTTAAGTTGATTAACGACGAGGGCCGGATCGGACTTGACTTGGACCTTGTGAGCGCCCAACTCCTTGACCATAGTCATGCCGGCGATAATCGCTTCATATTCCACGGCGTTGTTTGTTTTTAGGGTTGCAAATCGCAACGCGACCTCATGCATTGAGCCTCCAGGGCTTATCATCACGATACCTGCCCCAGCGTCGGTGCGGCTGGCCGCCCCATCAACCCGAACCCGCCAACAGTCATCCGTCCCCTTCTCTGACTCTGCTACTCCTTCTGCGATGAAGTCGGCCAAGACCTGGGCCTTTATCGCTGGTCGGGGCGCATACCAAATGTTGAACTCACTTAGCTGGACTGCCCATTTGACGAGGCGCCCGGCCACGTCCATTGACCCCAATGTGGATTTCAACGGTAGGTTGGTGGTATACCGGTTTGTCTTCTCCAAAGTGGGCTTCCCTTGCGACGAGCACTGCACTTACTGAGACCTCTGACACAGCAATATAAAGGTACAACGTCTCTCCCGCTTTGGGCGCCGTCATTACAGTTGGGGCGGCTAGGAGCTGTTTCAATTCTTCGAACGCCCCATCACACTCAGTAGTCCACTGGAAACGCGCCGCCTTCTTGAGCGTCCGAAAGAAGGGAGCTGCCTTGTCTGCGGACCGGGGGATGAAGCGCCACAGAGCTGCTAACCTTCCTGCCAAGCCTTGTACTTGGACGTCTTCGGGGGTGTCAATCTGAGAATGGCGTCCACCTGCTTTGGTTTGGCTTCGATGCCTCTTTTGGTGATCATAAATCTCAGGAATTTCCCTGCCTCGGCGCCGAACACACACTTGAGAGAGTTGAGGCGAAGCCTATGCGCCCGCATGGCCTGGAACGTCTCCCGCAAGTCTTCCAGGTGATCTTCACGCCTCCGACTTTTGACTATAAGGTTGTCCACGTAGGCTTCCACATTTCGACCAATTTGTTGACGGTAGACACTGTTGACCATTCTTTGATAGGTGGCGCCCGCATTCTTAAGCCCGAATCCTATGACCCGGTAGCAAAAGTTTTCGAAGGGCGTCATGAAGGCTGTTTTAGGTCGGTCTTCTTCCGCCATGGGGATTTGATGGTATCTGGAGAACATGTCCACAAAACTTAGTATCTCGTGATATGCCTTGGAGTCCACCAACAGGTCTATTCGGGCCATCGGGTAGGCATCCGTTGGACATGCTCTATTGAGGCTCGTAAAATCCACGCACATTCTCCAATCTCCCGACGGTTTTGGCACAAAGAACACGTTCGATAACCAAGTAACATAAGAAGTTTCTTCGACCAAGTTGGCGCCCATGAGCTTATCCACTTCGACCCTAAGCGCAGCCTCCTTCTCCGGCGATAGGTTCCTGCACTTTTGCTGCACGGGGCGCCTACCTTCCTCGACCGCCAACCTGTGAACGGCCGTTTCGGGTGTGACGCCTGGCATTTCTAGTGCACTCCACGCGAAAAGCTCCCCGAACTCTTTCAGGAGGACGATGAGGCGCTCCTTCATTTCATCGGGCGCCTCTGCAGATATTCTCACCTGCCTTTCCGGGCGCCCTTCATCTAGCGCCACCAAGAGCTCTTCATCGGCAGCCTCGGCTCGAGGTGCCTCTTCTACCACGACTTCCATCACATTGACTCTTGCGCCGGTGTGTCTTCGCTTTCGCCCTGCTTCCTTTGCATAACGCGGGGCGCCTCGTCCCCGTGCTACGCCTACCCCTTGCGTAGCAATGAATTTTAGGTTTGGTGACAAGTGGAGGCCACCCCATTGAATAAGGTTATGAGGGGTCTTCCTAGGATCGCATTGTATGGTGATGGGCAGTCCACTATTCCGAAGTCGATGGCGCGCGTCACCCTTTGCTCCCCGTCCCCCAAGGTTACCGGCAGGCATACTCGACCTATTACTCTGGCAGGCGCCCCCGAAAAACCAACTAGCACCGACTTCGATGGTCTGATCAGCACCGGCGATAGTTGCATGCGAACTACCGTATCTTTGAACAATACATCCATGGAACTCCCCGTGTCGACAAGCATCCTTCTCACCTTGCATCTCGCTACCCTATCTTTGAACAATACGTCCATGGACGGGAGCATGCATGCTTCTTATGGCGTCCTATTGAAGCTGATATCGATCGCCTCCTGCACGTCCGCCGATGCCGCTCTCAGCCGACGGTTTGCCTCTATCTTTTCCCTCAAGTCCATCGTTACGGAAATGGCTTCGATGGTTAGGCGTACGCGATCGGGCGCCTTTTCTTAGTCGAGGTCATAGGGCGGAGGTGGCAGCTCCTCCTTCGCTTTCTCCACGCCGGCCACGCACGCCCGGTGCACTCTCTCTTTATGCTTCTTGACGAAGTCGTTAAGCATCCTCCTGTCGGCCAGGCCCTGCAGCTCGGTCTTCAGCTGATAACAGTCGGTTGTATGGTGCCCCACTTCCCGGTGGAACTCACAATATCGATCCAGTTTCCGTTCGTTGGGTTGTCCCCTCATGGGGCCCGACCATCTGATGTGATACTCCTTCTCCTTAACGTGATGGAGTATGTTCTTCAGCGTGTCGTTATACTCAACAAAGGCTCCCGCCTCCTGGGCGTCGGGCGCCCCACATCGATTCTCCTTGGTGGGGGATGGCTCATGGGCGTATACCCTACAGCGTTCGGGGGGTGTGGCCTCCGTGTCATCTCAACCTCTTCCCCTCTTGTCTTTCGCCTGTCTGCCTTTTTGGCTGCCAATGTTTCTTCGAGAATGATCACCTTTTGTACTCTATGATCCAAATCTTCCGTGGATACCACGTCTCTTTTTGCAAGCGACCTACACAGCTCCTCGCTGGTGGTGCACTCATTCAGGCAATACTCCCAACACTGACGGCTGAGCGTCTTTCACTGCCAGGGCCACGGACAGCCATCTCTCATAAAATTCTCTCAGCGCCTCTCCCTCTCTTTGTTTGATTTTGAACAAGACGCCTATGGTCAGGGAGCGACGCTTCCTGC